ACCTGGACTAGAAGAGCGCCCAAACAAATCTACATCACACTGCCCCTGATGTGGTGCCTCAGTGTGACTGAAGGAAATACAAAGGGCAAATTGGCCTATAGGGACAATAAAGTGTACCTTAATATTAATCAGGGCAAACCTGCACTAAACCAGGACAAAAAGCCTGAGTGCACCATTAATGAAAAATAACAGAAGCAAAAGTTCAGCCATTCAAGAGCAAAAAAGTATCAAAAAGTCATTGTCAGCTGGACAATGTTCTTTGTAATTTTTAAACAAGGAATCTTTATTTCATCTCATCTGTCCAGTTGCCAACTTTTTGAATCCTATAGAACACACTTAGTGGCACAACAATATAGACTTTTAATCACTGATACATACCAAAAAACAATATTAATAATTATAGTTAAAAAATAAATGAGCTCCACATTAGAGGATTGGCTACACACTTCTCCATTAAAAAGGCCCAGTCCTTTCTCATTGACCATTAGAAAGGACTGAATCTTCATGTGATCATGACTTGTGTGGTGGTGAGACGTACCCTCCACGAGACTGGATGTCCACAAAGTCCCTCTGTCTGTTGACAGGAGTGAAGCGCACACAGGTGGAGCGGGCGAAGGAGCGCAGGCCATCTGTGATGGTGTTCCTCTCTCTCTGAGCTGCACCACAAACACACACACGCACACACACACACACGCACACACATGCACACACACGCACACACGCACACACACACAGGCACACACACATATACACACACCATCACAACTGTGTCATCACATCTCTCATGGGGAACACACTCATTTAGGGACCACTAGCAGTGAAGTTACACAATAGGCATAGTTAGTACTTAATTAGATCTTTGTTAGCTTTTAGAAAGTAATGTTTAATTCTAAATTACTGTATTAAACATCTATCTAGGCATGAACTTTTTTTTGGTACCACTTACTAACCACACTTTAATGAATATAATAAATACAGATGTTTTTGCTCACAGTACTGGTTGGAGATGCGGTAGGGCACATATACATTGCCATCACTGGCTTTGGGCCAGAGACAACCCCGCGCAGTGCACGGGTCAGCATTCTGCAGCCCATACGGAACTGCAATGTCTCCCTCCACCACCAGGGGGTCATCATCATCTAAGCTCTTCCCTGTAAACACAGCATGGATTTAATAAATACATAAATAAATAAATAAATAGAGAGAGAGAGAGACAGAGAGAGACAGAGACACAGAGAGAGAGAGACAGAGAGAGAGAGACAGAGAGACACAGAGAGATAGAGAGAGACAGAGACACACACACACAGGAGAGAGACAGAGAGAGAGACAGAGACACAGAGAGAGAGAGACAGACAGACAGACAGAGACACAGAGAGAGAGACAGAGAGAGACAAAAGACAGAGACAGAGAGACAGAGAGAGAGAGACAGAGAAAGACAAAAGACAGAGACAGAGAGACAGAGAGAGAGAGAGACACAGAGAGAGAGACAGAGAAAGACAAAAGACAGAGACAGAGAGAGAGAGATAGAGAGAGAGAGTTTTACAATAGACTCACCTAGATTCTTATTGGCCTTTTCCAGCAGAGTGGAGATGCTTAGGTCGGCGTCCTCCTCGATACTGTTCCCTGTGGACCAAACAAAACTGTCTGGAGTCCAATATTCTAAGCACTGCTCATACTGCTGCGTTTACACCAAATGATCACATGTGACTAGACCTACATGAGAACGAAACTTTGCTCGAACAGGATCTAACCAGAACAATTGTGACCGCACCCACACCCTCACATCAACTGTGAAATGTCATTCTGTTTGCAACATGGTGATACATTTTAGTGTAAAGTTCCTTTGAAATCCATCTAATTAGATTGTTAATTGCCATTTCAAAGTGCACTGTGCAACTCCTGCGCCGAATGCTTTCACCTTTCCATAGTAAAGGTAATAAACTTATTTAATGTTTGCACATACACAGACACACACAAAATCTTATTGTGAGCAAGGTCGTCTCTCTACCACAGACCTGAGAAATTAATGCCATACTGTGGAATAATACTGTCTATGCAGAAAAGTTCTGAACGTTGCACTTCAGCAGGATAGAACTCATACCTGAGGATTCTTCATTCTTATCAATCGTGTTCTGCAAAAAAAATAATAAATAAATAAATAAAAATGTCTGAATTTTACACCAGGCTGACATGTTCAAATACACTTGTATATATAATGTACTAGTATAGTTTGTGGTGTCCTACCCAGGTGATGGAGAAGCTGTGTGTGAAGCAGAGCAGAGAGCAGAGCACAGTCTGAAACATGGTCACCTCCAGACCACAGCCACACATGAACACCTGAAGACCTGAAGCCCCAAAGCGGATCCAGCCTTACGTATTTATAGAAGAGCCAGACCCAAATATGGACAGGCTCACATTAACCAAGAGCACAGGGGGAAGTGGCCGTTATTACTACAAAGCGACTGTGTTTTGGGAAAGAACGATTTCAAACATGTGTGAAAGACACACAGCTCTGTCTAAAAGTATTTTACCTGCATTTGGATAAATAAACCTTTGTGTGAGTCTGTGTGGTAGTCTCCATGCTCACAGCTTTCTCAGTTAAAAACTAAAACTGCTTCTTCAAATGACTAAGAACAAAATAAAAACACTTCACACTAAAATGAACAATGTCACTTAAACTACCTGCACAATAGATCCACTCTGGCCCCACCTATAAACACGATTCAGTTTCTGTCTAGGCTTTAATGTTGTTTCCTCATCACAAACATGTCTGGAGTTGTGTTTACAACAAATCCTGTACATTTAGGCTATGTTCTTTTCTCTAGCTGAAGGTTCCACCTTGTGATTTCACTGAGTGTCTCTACAGGAAGCACTCCACTGTATTTTTAAACTCCATACACCTGCCCTAGAATCATTTTTAAAAATCATCCTTGGAATTACAAATGATTTTAATCAAAAACATTTTATATTGCTTAGGTAAACTATTTCAAAAAGCCTGAATGCAACATGAAGACTAATATAACATATGAACACTTTCAAAAACAAGATTTAAATAAATGACTCCTTTTGAAACCTTTGTTACAGTGGACCTCTGCTGGAGCCACTGCACTGAAATGGTCCTGGTTGGAGCAGTGTGTGTTTATGGACACTGGCCACACACCACATGATTGTTGAATCGGTGTCCTGATGTCACTGAGAGGTGATACAGGAAGTGCTCCACTGTGCTTTTAGTGGAAACATTTGAAGAATTTGCAGTCATGGAATTGCCCAACTTTGAAGCTACATCTATTGTTTTAGCCTTGTTCAAACTTGTTGCAATGACACTGTAGAAAAATGTGTTAAAATGAAGCTAAAATAGTTGTTAGTGTTAAAACAACCAGTAAATGACATCACCAGGTGGAACAGAGCATTTTAAAATCAGAATATTATTCTAAAACTAACTAAACAATGCATCAAAGGCTGTGGGCCTCTCCTTTAGATAGCTGCACTAGAGCAGAGCTTTTTTTTTTTCTCATTTGTACCAAAATGACTATGCGATGCTGCTGAATCCTACGTGTATCACTGATTAATACAATAAAATTAGAGAACAAAGTAAATAGAGCAGTGGACATAATGTAGCCATTTTAAAAATAATGATTTAAAGATTGCTCAAACTTGAACAAATCACTCCAAATACAACTATTAAGTGCTGAGGGGAAACAACTAAAACTTGGTTAAAATCTTGGAAAAAAATATTTTGCACAATAGGTCTGCGTTAAACTACTACTACTATTTTGAATCTGTTTTTATTGGGTATGTTTTTGTGAACGTGCTGAGTGGTGATGAGCGGTGCACGCTGCAGCTTACTTCCACTTCTCTGTTTGTTGACACACAGTTGCAATTGTGTTGGCACATATTACTGCCCACCTAAAACAGGAACTCATTTTGAAAGACTGAATAAATAAACACAAGTGATGTGTTTGAATGATGAGTGAGACTTGGCCTCATGGCTGACCAACTGACACATTACTCTATGATCCTCGCTGGTCTAAACAGCACTTACATTTTGTGGTTGATGTAAACCCATTTTCACATCCCATTGCACATGTGAGGCCGGTGTTTCCCGACAGCTCAGGGGAAGTACACTTAGCACACCTGATGGTTACAATAGAGGAAACAAAGTATATGCTCTTTCATCTGTTATATTCTGCATGTTGCTGGGTTCCACATCACATTACAACATTCCACAGGCCTATCAAACTGAATGGAGATGGAGGCTCAAGTCAAATGTAATTACAAAAGGTGAGGTCAGTTACATTTTGAGGTCAAAGGATAGTCACCAATAGAAATCAGGATCAGGGTTTATCATACTTGTCAGGGAATTTACCCTAAGACATCAAATTACATTAAATAAGACACACCAAAACGAGACGGTTAAAAGTAATACTTGCGCAAGGAGAGTTGGGGACTGCCTGCCCCTGGCTACGCTCTGGCCTACTCTACTCTGCCAGCTCTCCTCCCAACAGCAGCTTTTATTGCAGTCATTTCACAGATAACAATACAGTACATTATGTTATATCACACAATGGTTACAATGATCACATGCTAACAATCTTTGGGCTAAACCACCCTCCCATTTCACACTTGATTACAGGCTCCAGGTGATAAACAATTTTGCCAGTTTTCTCCCAAAAACTTATGCTAACCACATGAGGGAAAAAACCCTTAGCTGTCTTCTCATGGGTGACTCAGTAGATTAGCTTAATGAGTCAGGAGTTCTTGTACTAGGACATATGATATACATATGAAAAAACCCAAAAACGCAGTTGTTGATAACTTTAATCACACACACAAATGATTATGATTTTAAATGATTCATAATATTTAAAATAACACAGAAATTCTTTCACAATACTTTATTTGGGGTATTTGTTATATTACAATGTAAGTAACAGGGAAATCTGACTGTTGCACCCCATCTGAGAGTATGTCATCATCTATTCTAGAATCTGAAAACAAGATTTCAACTGCATTGTTTATTCACCTATTTATTGATTTATTTTTATTATTTATTTCAGTTTTCTCATGTAATAAAGGGACTACACTACCAGTCAAAAGTTTGGACACACCCTTTTGTTTAGTGTTTTTCTTTACTACTTTCTACATTTTTAAAACACACAGAAGATATCAAAAATATGAGGCAAAATGTATAGATACATATCACTCTGTACATGTATATTTTATAGTTCAGATTCAAATCTTCAAAGTATCCAGCCTTTGTTTTGTGCACGGCAATGTAAACCCCTATCCTTCTCTCCATGAGCCTCTAGATAAAATCTCCTGAAAAAAAAAAAAATAAAATTGTTTGCTGCATTGCATGTTTGTCCATTCATATTGATACATATTGATATTTTCAGTGAGAATCTAGAGTGTAAATAATCATAGAAATAAAGAGGAAATACAAATGAAGAGGTGTGTCCAAACATTTGACTGGACGTGTTTGTAGCCTGTGCTCTTAGAATGACAGAATTTCTGCAGAATTCCCTCCCTGAGCTGCAGAGGCTGCACTAGCACAGATTCGTGATTGGTGCAGGTGCTGGGGTTTAGGTAAAGACCATTCAGATCACAGTCTTTTTGGATTTAAACCAACAGGATTCAGCATTGAAACTGATAACTCAAATGAGAGTCTCATGTGATGCTCCTTCTACGTTCTGATTGGATAATCGTCTTGAAATGAAACACCAAATAAAACATAACATGTCTATCATGTCCAATGTTTTTGTAATTTGTAAAAGTTCTATTTGAACCTATACCAGGGGATACTGTGTTGTGTTGTGTTCATACTTATTATGGAATTTAAAATCCAATAGTTAAAGTCCCTTTAAATGTGCGTCTTGTGAAGCGCGTACCCCAGTGGAGCAGTACATACAGTACATACAGTACCTGTACATACAGTACATACAGTACCTGTATGTACAGCACTGCAGTATGTAAAAGGCAGGACACACCTGATAAGCCGAGACTTTCCTCATGCTCCTTATTTGGCACAGAACGCTAGAAGAGCCGCTCACAGACCATTCTGCTGCTGGACTTCACCTCTGGCTTCTGTAGGACGTCCTGCAGGTCTTCTTGTTCTCCTTCAGGTTCCCACATCTGCTCTGCTGCTCTTCTCTGCTTCTGTTGGGCAGGGAAGGTGTTTTACGGATTTATCATCTGATTAAAATTAGACACATTTTGAGAAATATGTAAGTAGACACATTGGATGCACCGTTAAAAAGTATAGTAAAGATTGAAACATTGTTTAATTTTAGATCAGGCCTATTCAACATGTGACCCGGGGGTCTTAAATATGATTTAATACGGCCCACTATCCAAAATATGTTCTCTTTTTCACTGGTTTAGTTAGCTCTAGTTTAATCCTCGTTTGGTCCTTGGTTCTGGACTTGGTTTTGTCCTAGTTTATTTCTAGCTAGGTACTGGATTGGCTATTTGGCAGAGCAAAGTTGGTTTAGTGGAAAAATGTAAGAAAGCAGTAGTACTGTTACAGACCTGGTGGTGGAGACATTTAGCCTGGGCCTTGATGGACCCCCAACTGTTCAGTTCTACCCATTGACTATGGTTCTGCCATGTTTCTCAGAATGTGCAGGCTGAAGAGCACCCTCTAGTGGACAGCTGTAATGGAGCACATGTTCAGTGGGACACAGCAATGTGTCACACCAGCACAGCAACGGCCAAAAGGAACAATGTTGTATTTACACATATGCATACATTTTAGAAGATAATGATAACAATGAATCTAGTATTTTAGAGCATAAAGATGAATCTGAAATGTTGTATATATAGAAGTTAGAATGAATTTTGACTTGAATTACATTTTTGCATTAGATTGTGGTGATTTTGTGTGGTTATTATTATGAGTTTTGAAACTGGGGGCAAAGCTGTGAGTGACTCTGAGCTGTGTTATGGAATGTTGAATTTTGGAAAACATCACAGAAAGGCTGGCAGTCATTGACTGCAGGTTGGATGAAACTGTGGATCTAAATCATGATATTGGTAACATCTTGGTGAGACTAGAAACTTTGCAAAGAGGAGTGAGCAGACCTTGTGACCAACTACAAAGAGAGTAGTTTGTGGAAATTGAAATGCAGCTGCTCGACCGAAAACCCAACCAACCCAAATCTTATCTTATTGGCCTTCCCCAGCCAGCACCGATCTTGGCCAAGGCCAGGTGGAAGCAACTCACCCCCTACAACTTAAACTGGCACCTGCTGATGTTGACTCTGACTGGGACCTGATCAAGGCTGTTTTCATGGGTTTGGGGCCAGGCATAACTTGTCTCCAGGCCCGCCCCATATCCCACACCCTCTCTGTTGTTGTTGTTTTTGTAAAGCCAACTCCATCCCCCTCCCCTTGCTGTTGTATTGTGTGTGTTTTTTTTCCCCTGGTCCTGGTTTGCTTCTTTTTTTTATTTTTTTATTTCTCCTCCTCCTCCCTTCATCTTATGCTGTAGTGTTTTTCTTAAAGGTACTCCAGAGATAATGGCCATATTTATAGGGGCTGCAGTGGTTGTCTGAAGGAGCTCCTCCTTCCAGTGCTGAGTTCTGCATTGCCTGCTTACTATAAACGTCATTATTAAAGCAGCATAACACATAATATAAATGTGTAATAATGTGACCCTCGGTGGATATTTGTTGCGTATGGCATATCTGTCCCAAAATACAAATCTATAGGCTTACTGTTGTCCAGTGTTTCTTGACCACTGCAGGAGGTAGGAGCCTGATCAGGTGCATTTTCTATAGGTTTTTCCCAGCAGTTATCTGCTGTACATTCATGACCTCCACAAAGCAGGAGAGAGTCAGTATAAAAAGGCTCAGACTCTGAGCTCAGTGTGTGTGGGTTAGGATCTTATGGTAAGCTCTTGTACCTCATTAAGGGCCAGTCCAGAGTTTTGCTCTTCAGCTCAATAGAACATCTTGTCTCCACAGGTCTCCAGGATGTCTCCTTCCAGGTTCTCCGTGCTGGCTCTGCTGCTGCTCTCGGCCTACTGCTGGGCAGAGGAGGTACGCTCTTCAATACACATTTACAGCATTTTTACTTTGATTTAAATACAGTGAATGTAATTATTTCTTCTTTTGTCCCCCAAAATTCCCCTGATCAAATAGTCAGGTACTGTCCCGACCCTCTCAAAAAATCAACAGTTTCATAAAGTCTACAATGGAAACATGACTTTTACCACCTTTTTGTACAGACCTGTCTGTCTCTGAGATTCTGGAGAAAGCCAACGCCAATATCGGTAAATCTGTGACCAATGATGACCAAGATCATAAATGATAAAACTTACCACTTTTTGTGTTTTCAGTGCGTGGTGAAGGTGACCCCATCCTGATCGAGGGAGACATCGCCATAGAAAACGAGTCAGAGAGGAACGCTGACCCCTGCACCTCCAGAGGCTGTCTGTGGGGCAAATGGACAGATGGGAAGGTCTACATCCCCTACCTCATTGCCAACCACTTCTGTAAGAACCAACAGTGTATCAGAGACCATATTCACAGTTTGACTAAACAACAATGATCTTGTCATTTGTGCCACTGCAGCTTCTCGTCAAAAGGCCGTCATCACCCGTGGTCTGGAGTCCTTCTCCTCCGTCTCCTGCATCCGCTTCAGACCCAAGAGGAGCTCTGACCGCGACTGGATCAGCATTGAGTCCAGTCGACAAGGGTAAGGTCATCCACCAGTTCAGAATACCAAGTCTGCCAGCTGAGTGCTTCTCAAACTGTGGTGTAGGCCTACAGGTACGTCTGCCAGATCTGCTGTTTCTTTCCTTTTTGCTCATAAGAGGCCTTGTTTGTTGATTATGGAATGACCATGCATCTTCTTGATTAGATAATTATTAACCTGTTAATAAAGCCAATCTGAATTTGTGAAGATAAAATCCATGTCCAGCCTATACATCTTTGTAAATTATTGGAGAAGTGTGTATTCTTGGCTGCCCAGGCAAACAAAAAATACTTTCAGTTATTTTACATTGCAATTGTATGTAAGCTTATATATCCACAGGCTAAACTTGATTCAAAGCTTCTCTATACACGGCCCTCCAGGTAGATGAACATGGAGTGCCTCTTCTGACTGTCTGCTCCAGCTCACTCCCACCTGTTCCTGTCTACATGTGTGCGCTCTTGTCTGCATGTGTGTGCTTCTGTCTGCATGTGTGTGCTTCTGTCTGCATGTGTGCTTCTGTCTGCATGTGTGTGCTTCTGTCTGCATGTGTGCTTCTGTCTGCATGTGTGCTTCTGTCTGCATGTGTCTGTCTGCATGTGTGTGCTTCTGTCTGCATGTGTGCTTCTGTCTGCATGTGTGTGCTTCTGTCTGCATGTGTGCTTCTGTCTGCATGTGTGTGCTTCTGTCTGCATGTGTGCTTCTGTCTGCATGTGTGTGTCTGTGCATGTGTGCTCTGTCTGCATGTGTGTGTTCTGTCTGCATGTGTCTGCATGTGTGCTTCTGCATGTGTGTGCTTCTGTCTGCATGTGTGCTTCTGTCTGCATGTGTGCTTCTGTCTGCATGTGTGTGCTTCTGTCTGCATGTGTGCTTCTGTCTGCATGTGTGTGCTTCTGTCTGCATGTGTGCTTCTGTCTGCATGTGTGCTTCTGTCTGCATGTGTGTGCTTCTGTCTGCATGTGTGCTTCTGTCTGCATGTGTGTGCTTCTGTCTGCAGATGCTGGTCCATCATTGGCCGTCGTGGGGGGAAGCAGTTGCTTTCCCTGTCCATCCAAGGGGGATGTGTTTACCATCAGACTGTCCAGCATGAGCTTCTCCACGCTCTGGGCTTCAACCATGAGCAAACCCGCTCCGACAGGGACAACCACATCAGGGTGCTGCTGGAGAACGTCCAGTCTGGTAATGCACAGGAGGGTTTATGCTGAACACAGAGGACACCCAGAGGTCAGGCAGTTGGCCATTTGTCTTCACTCCCTTACAAATATACTTCATATGTTCAACATTTAGTAGGAGCTCTCCACCAGTGGAGCACTGAGGAAATAGATCATGTCCTATAATCTGTCACCCCTCCAACATCACATCATTTCATTTTGTATTCTTCATGTCTTCTGCCTTTAGGACAAGAGTATAACTTCAGGAAAATCGCAACTCTCAACCAGGGCTCTCCCTATGACTATGGCTCTGTCATGCAGTACCACAAGTGAGAAGAAAAAAACACACTCTGAAACTTTCCTGAATAGTTACAGAATCATGATAATACTGAAAAAATCACTCACTGACAAACAGTGACAAAAAATAGTGACAAAAAATGGTGCATCGAAATTGGTAACTGTTCTTGTTGTTGTGCACTGCCTGCATGTCTCCATGGGGATGATATTACTTAGCCTGGAATGCTACACAGTGTGGCACTAAAATAACAAAAAGCAAAAAATAGCTTGGAAACTATGCATTCTGACTGAAGTGTAACATGCTTGTCTATATGGATGTATATTTAGTCAATGAACAGGTTGATCAGTCTAAGTAGACTTAAATTTGTATTATTTTAGTAATCATTTGATTTAAATTATATGGGACAACTGCAGAATGGAGTGAATGAGTTAGCTGAAGATGTGGTAATAATATGTAAAAATGCTGATTAAATACAAATTGAATCTGTCTGTCTATAAATACATGACCATACCTGCATGAGCAGTTTGGGTCAGATGCATCGAGATATAGAATCACTAGAGATAGTTTTGAGAGCTTTTAGCATATTCACTTTTTATTCGACTAATCGATCGGCAGAACATATCTCTAGTCCAACAAAAATTGATTTAATTGACTACAGGTCTACATTCCAAGCAAAGCAATAAAATAAAGCTGGGAACAAGCAGGTAGCAGACCCTCAACTAGAAGAGTTACACAGCAATACCAAAATCACATTCTCTACTAATATCTCCTCCATGAGAAGTGACCCCCGCCTCTCCTCCCCTTGCCCAGGACGGTCTTCTCAAAGAATGGGAGACCCACTCTGGTGGCCTGGCCTGACGCTAGCGTGACGTTTGGCACAGCCAGGCAGATGAGCAGCAGTGACATCAAGAGACTCAACCTTCTGTACAAGTGCTGTAAGTGCTCCCACGGGCTCCACCTGCTCTGCTCTACTAGAACCTCTCCATGAGTTGTGTTTGTGTTACAGAGGAACATCTCCACACAGAAGAAGACTCATGGGCATTTGGGCAGCTTCAACTAGAGAAAAATAAAGAACATGTGAAAACTAAAAAGTCTCTGATTTTCAGCAAAAATATATAATGTCTGACTAATGTTGGGAATGCAGTGAGTTAAAAATAATGGGCTTATTTACTCACAAAATTAGGCTTATATTATTTCTTTTTCTTAAGGTGCTCTATGCAATTACCAATGTAGATATTATGGTTTAGTCGAGAAAGCTCGACAGTGTGGCATTAAATGTATCTGGAGACAAGCAGTTGACACCCAAGTTATAGTTTAAATCTGCAGAGGCGATTCTGCATACTGTAAGAATACATGTTTTTTTTTTGTTTTTTTTTGTTTGCTTGTTTTATTGCAAGACATGTTTTAGTAATAAAAAACACCTATTAAGAAACATCAAAATTGATATTTAATGCCATATATTCCAGGCAAAGCAATCAAATTTCTATAAACACGCAGGTGTCAGACCCAAAGTTGCACCTTTAAGCTTGTATATTTGTGTCACTGCACCCTTGATCCAAATGAGATGTTTGCTGATTGCGGTCTTTCTGGGAATCGCTTTGGTCCACACTTGCTCAATTTCACACTCAAAGTTTCCACTAAATCTGATAAAGCCTTAGGCAGAGTGACATGGTTTGACACAAGAGTATTATTCAAATATATTCAGGAGGGTATAAAAGAGCTCAGGAGATGAAAGCTGGAGGATCTGCTCCTGGAGTTTCAGGTAATACATATTTATGCACATTAGATATGAATTTTATCTGGCCTTGTATTTCAGTGATTCTTGTGAGTCTGGACAAAACAGTTTTTGAAATGACTTCACTATGATTCTATTTTTACTTCATTTATGCCAAAATTGTTTGAAAACATTAATAAAAATTAAATAAAGATCTCCAGTCTAGAGCTCCTTTAAGTGTGCAAATTATGATATTTTGAAATTATTTTTTTCTACAAATTGCTATATTTTAGAGATGATCTGTTTTGTCAGATTTGTGTTTATGTGGCTTATGTTCTAGTCTGCTGCAGACATGTTTGCCTGGACCTTTGTGGTGCTGCTGGTGGTGCCCTCTTCATGGGCCGAGAGAGGTAAACAGCTACTCCACTTTAAACCCTGGCTTATGTGTTCATTTGATTTGATTTCATGAACCAAAAGGAAACATGGAAATTAAAATGTTTTGCTTTGCTATTTTAGTTGAAAATCTATACAAATATTGAACTGTTTTCAGTTTGTTTTTGGATGCTCTCAGTCCCTTTGCTCTTCGCGGTCACTCCCCCTTGACATCACAACACAATCAAAATGTATCCCATACTACACTAGCCTGATTCATCAGCCGCTTATACTTCGTTTCACTTCGTACAAACCGTCTGACCTCACAGCCTTGGAATTCGTTCGCTCGGCGTTAGACGGGTGCTTTTTTATTTAACCAATTGCTGCTGTTTGGCCTTGACGTATGTAAGGCATCGCTAACGGGACTAACTGTTAAGTTTTTCCCAAATCTTGTAGGAAGAAAAACAATAATGTCTTTCCCCTTGATTAAATTCACCAAACATTCTCTTTATGCCGTCTTTAAATCCTCAATCTTGGAAATCGTTGACAACACTGAATATATGACTCTTCGCTGATTGGCTGGTGTCCGAACTTGCACTTCCGGGGTTTTTGCGAACCGTCTAGTGTATTCTGATTCCTGACATAGTCGCTGGAGAGAAATGAAAGTACATCTTAAAATGGAATAACTCCCAGTAGGTACTAGCATTTTTTCCTTTCTGTGCACAGGCCCATCTGTCTCTGAAGTTTTGGAGAAAGCCAACGCCAACATTGGTAAGTTTCAGTTTTGAGAGTTTCCCCAGAATAAGAAACACAACAGTTTATGGCATTGTCTTGTGGCTCCAGTGCATCGTGTGGGCCAGCCCATCCTGATCGAAGGAGATATTGCCATTGACACTGATGCTGAGAGGAACGCTGACCCCTGCACCTCCTACGGCTGCATGTGGGGCAAATGGAGCGATGGCTTTGTCTATATCCCCTACTACATCGCTAACCACTACTGTAAGTACCAATACAAGACACCGTATCACCTGTCAGCATGTAACCACAGGCTCAACGTACAATCCACCAACATCTTTGTGTGCTCTCAGCTGATAGGGAAAGGTCCATCATCATTCGTGGTCTGGAGTCCTTCTCCTCCGTCTCCTGCATCCGCTTCAGACCCACCATAAGCACCGACACCGACTGGCTAAGCATTGAGTCTCAGGATGGGTAAATATAACTGCAAGAATCAGCAGTTCTCTAAAAACAAATAGTCAGCTTGAAAATTTTAGGTCCAACAACAGTCTGGTTCATCTCAAGATGCTATTAGGTCCAAGCTTTGAGGTCTTCTGGATTGGAGTAAAAAAAAAAAAATCAGATTCCAGATTAGGGTTGCAAGTGAGGATCACTTTAGTAGTCCACTATTCAACAACATAAGTTGACTAGTCAAATGGTTATTGTTTTATTGATTATTGATTTTTGGACATTTTGATTTAACAATACCAGATACAGGATGATGGGGTGCAAGCAAATTCAAGTTGACATGTCTAATGTAGCTTTGCCTATGAAATCTGTGGTCCTCTTATGTGATACACAAGAGCACTTACCAATGCCCTGTGCTCCTGCCTGCAGCTGCTGGTCCTATGTGGGCCGCCGTGGGGGGAAGCAGGTGCTGTCTCTGGACCGCAATGGATGTATTTACCACAACACTGTCCAGCACGAGCTCCTCCACGCTCTGGGCTTCAACCACGAGCAGACCCGCTCCGACAGGGACAATTACATCAGGGTGCTGTTGGAGAATGTGATATCTGGTAAGGAACTCACTGACTGACTCACTGTACCGACTAACTGGAACATAAGATCAAACAAATGAGAGACACTAACTTTGCCTCAGGTAATTGGCTCTGTGCAGGACAGCAAGCTCACTGTTGTTAGCACCACTAAAGTAGCCTACTTCCTGTCTAATTTGATCTGAGGTTTTAGCAAAATCAGACTAAAATAAAGAAAGAAAGAAAGATCAGGCAGTGGAATGTGAATTATGGGCAGATGTCCATAGTAACATGTTGAACACTTAAACACACTACACTACACTAACACTAACACTACATCCAGGGCACTTCTGTGTATATAAAGATGGATATTTTTGCATTAATATTTACTTTGAGCATAATCAATATTAAAATAGTTGAGTTAGGTATAGGTGAGCAAAAAACTGTTGTTGTGTCCTTAGGCAAGACACTTCACCCACATTGCCTAGTATGAAAGTGGTGTGAGCGTGAGTGATGGTGGTGGTTGGAGGGGCCGTCTGCCCCAGGGCAGCTGTGGCTACAGTAGTAGCTTACCACCACTGAGTGTGGAGTGACTGAATAATGAACTGTAAAGGGCTTTGGGGATCTTGAAAGGTGCTATATAAATGCTATCAATCAAAATCAAAATAAGTCAAACTGAGGTCATCTACATTTCAAAACAATAGGTATTTACATGACTTTATTTTTGCTGCATATTAGTTTTATATTTTAACTTTTATTAAAAGTAATCATTCACTGTGAGACACAGTGAGCTGGCTAATGTGCTGCTGTGCATATTACATAGTGTCTTATTGTTCTATGTGAGATTTGCTGATGCTGACATTTTAACATTTACTGCTAGATTTCATACAATATATAGTATGTTATATAAGTACAGATTCACGGTGAAACACAGTGAGCTTTTGTGGTTCAACATGAACCACAAACTGATTAATGTTATAGTTCATGTTAATGTTAATGTTATTCAGGCTCTCGTGTGCTCTCTGGTATTCTTCTGTCAGACCAATATAACTGTGGATGGTACATTTAAAAAGAGACATTTGGTGCACAAACTGGCCATGACACATTGGCAAACTGTGTGAGATTAGAGAATTTTCAATATCCCCAATAATCTTAATATCACCAATAATAATATTAGCACCAATACATTGGGTATTATTTTAAACATCATCACAGCAGTTGCACTTTAGTCCACTCATGAAATTATCTTTTTCACAGGAATGGAGCACAACTTCAGGAAGATCAACACACTGAACCAGGGCACTCCCTACGACTACGGCTCAGTCATGCAGTACTTCAGGTGAGAACAACACCAGCATACCCAGTCCTTCTCAAAGTATCTCCTCCATCTACAGTACACACAACTACTCCTGCTCACCTCTCCCTGTGTCCAGGACGGCTTTCTCCAAGAACGGCCAGCCCACCATGATCCCCATCCCTGACCCCAATGTGGAACTGGGCAACGCTCCGGAGATGAGCAGCAACGACATCAAGAGACTCAACACCCTGTACAAGTGCTGTGAGTGCTGACCACAAAACCAGGATACTTTATAATGGACTTCTTCACTCATAATGTGTTTTTGTGCTGCAGAGGGAGGACATCCAGGGCTGGTCAAAGCTTGAGAAAGAACATCACCGATTTCTGTGACTACTGGAGATGTGATCAAAGAAAATGTGGAACATTTCCCTGTAATTGTCGATTAAAGAGTCAAGACAATAGGCTTGTGTCAATTTTTGATAACTAGGGAAGTAACAGTATCAAATGAGAGTGTGTTTTAGTGTGTTGATGTTGTCCCAGACCATGAGTGCCTTGCACAGTGGGGGAGTTTCCTCGTAGACTAGTAGATTATACAGATAAACTGCATGTGCCCAATACCACCAGAAAGCATGAATCGATAAGAACAGCTGGATAAGTCACTCCCCCTCTGTTTGTGAGAGAAATCGATTAGTGGTCGCTCTATGGGTTTTGCAGCTCCTCAGAGCTCTGGCCAAGAAAACATTGTCCCATAGAACACAATACATTTATGTGAAATAAAACTGCCTGTGTTCGGCTGCAGGGCATCGACAGCTTCCATAAAGACCGGATTATGGAGAGATTCTGCTTTTACAATATGAACTATGCATTTTTAAACAGTCAAAGCACCTAAAAGTCATCTTTGTAAGAGTTAGCCTAGCCCCTCTCTGAGCCTGCACTAGCTCCACTAGCAGCTCTCGCTCTGATTGGCCAGAACTGCACGTTTCTGACGTCACATGTTTTGTGACGTAAGATCAGTATTCAGGAAGTAATATGGAAGTAAATATATTTTTTGACATGATGTGCAAAAGAGCAATGGCCACTGAAAGTGATACGGCACCATCTTGGATTCATCTTCCACATCTTCCAGATATTCCAGGCCAGAAACATGCACAACAAGCTAACACTCCAGACAAAGTCCCATGGATAGGACAGAAACGGACCTTTCCTGAATCCAAGTAGAAGAGCACATAGACTAGTACACACTCATGGACCACTATCAACCTACTGCACCACTGAGGATTACACCAGGGGTCTCCAACCTTTTTAATCCAGTGAGTTCCCTTTACAAAACAACACATGACAGAGAGCTACTCATTTTAGTGGTCACAAGAAACTGAGTAAATATAAGGGCCATGCCGAGCCTTAGATGAGGTACAGTCAGATGCCTATAAAAAATAAACCATTATCCATAGTAGGGCAAGTTAGGCATCAAAATACATGCATAAGGGTAACAGGCATTTAATTAATCAAATTAGACTTATTCAGCGCAAAACTTGTAATTCAAAAATTCCTTGGTGAGTTACTTGGAAGGGAGTGGAGAGCTGTAGCTCCTGAGGTGCACGTTGGAGACTCCTGGTTTAAACAGATTTAAGGCCACATGGTGAAAGAAAAGGAAGTACTACCATTTAATGCTGAAAATCACATTCTGTTTTCTAATATCATTATGGAATCAGTATTGAGTATCGAGTGTATTCCTTGGTATCAAAATTGAGTTTGAAATTTTAATACACTAATTGCTTATAATACAAAAGTAAAACAAACTTGTAATATTTCAAACACACGTATACACTTCTGTGATTCTTTTTATGGCCTATTCACTTTTAGCACCTCTGAAGGACTGCTGATATATTCTCTTTTTATTGTCACTGGGATATTCCAAAATCCCAGTTATGTTTGATTATCAAGAACTACAGAGAGAGCGCCCCCCTTCACACACACAAGCACACACACCCACACCCACACCACACCACACCCACCCACCCACACACACACACCACCCACCCACACACACACACACACCCACCCACCCACACACACCCACCACCCACCCACACACACACACACACACACACACACGCGCGCGCGCATGCTTTGTGCAAGTATCACAGCATACTGTTGTCCAGCTGGTCCTCCTCTCAGCGTGTATCTGCTCTCACAGATACTGCACTGTACACTGTATGTTATGGCCATTATATAAGTCAGTTGTTTTGAGCCATGGCAGAATTTCGGAATCAGCAATAAGAGGGTCAAACAGAGTCCACCAGTGGACAACTCTTATATTTTACATGGTCTACTGTGTTCCAAAGGTATTCCACACTTTCCTTATGCATTCTGAGCATCCTAATTATTCTTTTGTCAATAAAGACCTGAAGAGCAGTTTCTACCATACATCTGTACTGGGGCAAGACACATTTTGCTTAGAACTATGTACTGAAATTTAGATAGGTCAGTTGTCTTGAAGCATGGTAGACTTTTATGAATAAGCACAATTTTGAGCAATGAGGAGGTCAGAGCCCAGTAGTGGACAACTCTTACACTGTTGCTACTAGGGCAGCAGGACAAATGAATTGAAACTGAAACCTTAATGGTTGCAAATCTTGAGACAGCAGGGAGGGTATGGTTTCTTCTGCAATGGCAAACATCAAAATATCTAGTCTTATTCTGTGTAAAAGCTGTTAACACTGCTGTTATGAATAGCAAATAATTCTTGGATTACTTTTAAATCAAGATTTTCGTCTCCGCTCAAATAAATGTATTTGAAACCTGCACACAGAATCTTCCTGTTACAGCATCAGTCACAGGTTATAGATCACAATGCTCACATCACATTTAGACATTGTTTTCCTTTGTTTTAATTACATTGTCTTACTGTACGTAGATGTGAGTCTGGTCACTGGTGAACCTCTCCATTTTCAGATGGGTGTGACTGACATTTAGACAGTCACGGAGACACATGTCTTCACTCTGTCTTCAATGAAAACAAATAAAGGGGAAAATATCACAGAGGCTGAAAACATAGCAAATTTCTGCAGAATTAATGAGTGAAACCCTGAACTCTGTTCAACTGAGGTGAGATACATTAGATTTTATTTGTAAATGGTAAGTGACCAATGACCTCATTCATTTCACATGCATCACTGGGAAAAAAACCCAAAACAAATACGATTGGAGAATCATGTCTGACAGGGTTAAGATGGTCTTGACTGAGTGGGGACCACAACAAATTCAACTTTAAATGTAAAGTAATTCTGCACTGAAATAAATGGATTGTGATTAAAAGGAAATGCCTAATAACATTTGGATCACTTTCCCCAAATTACCTGTTATAAATGACTATAAACTCAGTTACTGTTAAAATACTGTAGTGCACTGCCTATAAGAAAGGTTTAACAACAAGAATTTTGTCTACAGCAATTGTTTTAGACGGGAGGACAGCAGCCCAAACCAAATATGGTATATATATGATATTGTGTCATAAATGTTCAGATATTTCCAGTTGCACCTGCTACTACCACTAACTAATCAAGCAAATATTGTGAATATTTTCATTGCATGTTTTCAAATCTACATTCAGTTTACACTGTAGATATTGTACATGTTTACTTTTATTTAACAAGTCTACTATACAATTAGCTTTATATGAGGACATTTTGTTCTTCATGGAGGACATTCTATTACTTACATAATTTCAGACATTCTGATTTTTACTGTCTTAAAATATGAAAAACAGAGCAAGTTCATTTTAAACAGTTTGCAGTGGTTCAGAATTATTCCTCACTTATCTTATGGATTCAGAGCACCCTAAGTTTTCACCACAATGGGCTTATAAGTGCTTTTCAAAATTCTCAGAAACCCGAGAAGACTTTTGTTGTCACGATAAAACTAACAACAAATAGCATGCTAAACCACACTTCCTGATTATAAAGCATTTTATTGACAGAAGGCTTATTTTGACCTTCAGAGCTTCTTATACAATATGTCTGTACTGGGATAAGATACATGTTGCTTAAATACATGGGAAAGTTTGCATAATGATTTATGTCTACAAATTTTCCCTTCACAAATGCTCTTATACTTTATGCTCTTATACTTTCAAACCTTTTGGCACATAAGCTGTACACAGAATTGTACGTCACCTTTTGTGACCTTCTCAAAAGTGCTAACTCTTGAAAAAGTTAAGCGTTCAGCCAAGTGCATTTTCTATAGGTTTTTCCCAGCAGTTATCTGCTGTATATTCATGACCTCCACAAAGCAGGAGAGAGTCAGTATAAAAAGGCTCAGGCTCTGAGCTCAGTGTGTGTGGGTTAGGATCTTATGGTAAGCTCTTGTACCTCATTAAGGGCCAGTCCAGAGTTTTGCTCTTCAGCTCAATAGAACATCTTGTCTCCACAGGTCTCCAGGATGTCTCCTTCCAGGTTCTCCGTGCTGGCTCTGCTGCTGCTCTCGGCATACTGCTGGGCTGAGGAGGTACACTCTACATTAGGCTGATTCTTAATATACTTAGTCCAAAAACTGAATTTTAACATTTTCATTTTCTATTGTTATTCTCACCCTGCTATCCAATAAACAGTCAGGTAAGATTTCAGTCCACTAATATATACATTTAAAAAATCTGAATAATATAAACTTTCTTTTTTCTATAGACCTTTCTGTGTCTGAAATCATTGAGAACGCCAACAAAAACATTGGTAAGACCGTACTTATGTGACTTTTATGAAGTGTTTCACAGATTCAGCTCAGTGTGGGCTGTGGTGGTGACATCGGCCATCAGGCCTGTAGTCAGCTAAACAAATTCTTGTGTTATTGTGGCTCCAGTGCGTCGTGAAGGTGAGCCCATGCTGATCGAGGGAGACATCGCCATCGACAACGAGGCTGAGAGGAACGCTGACCCCTGCACCTCCAGAGGCTGCAAGTGGGGAAAGAACACTGATGGAAAGGTTTACATTCCCTACTACATCGCCAACCACTTCTGTAAGAAACAACACTACACACCCATCATTGACCTGCCGGCAAATGCCACAATCAACCGATGTGTCTGTGTCCTTTCAGCTTCCAGGGAAAAGTCCATCATCACCCGTGGTCTGGAGTCTTTCTCCTCCTTCTCCTGCATCCGCTTCAGACCTAGCAGAAGCTCTGACCGTGACTGGCTGAGCATCGAGTCCAGAGACGGGTAAAGTCGAATAAGAATTTGTGGAATACTAACGTCAAATTCAGTCTCTGTCACAGCTGTTTGTGTCTTGTGTCAGAGTTAGTAAAAGTCAGCTTTTTTCCTGCCTGCAGCTGCTGGTCGTACGTGGGTCGCCGTGGAGGAAAGCAGACTGTGTCTCTGAACCGTGGAGGATGTCTGTACCACAACACTGTCCAGCATGAACTGCTCCACGCTCTGGGCTTCAACCACGAGCAGACCCGCTCTGACAGGGACAACCACATCAGGGTGCTGCTGGAGAACGTGGTGTCTGGTGAGACAGGCCACAAATACATTTAATGACAAATCATGGGGTATAGGTTAAAACATTATAGGAACTCAACAGTAAATTTCCCATTCATTTCTCTCCTAGACTTTTGGGGAAAAAATAATAACAATAATAATGACCTACTACTACTACTACTGATAATAATAATAATCATCATCATCATAATCATAATCATAATAAAGGTTGAAAGCTCATGCCTTATCAGCTCTGTTGTAATTAATGAACAAAAGACCTAAAACTTATTTAAAATCTGTTTTCTTAATAAACTGCTAAGTTATTAAAAGATTTGGCCAAATCCTGAGTTTTAAATGCACCTTTTGGACTTGAATCAACTGTATTATGAATATTAACACATAGCTGGTCAGCCTCTGCGATGCCTTTGAACTCATAATGTGATTTTTTTTTTTTTAAGTCGATGGGAAAAATGAGCAGGACTGTTGAGTTCCATAGGAAGACAGAAGTTGATGACTGTCCAGAGATTTGGTTATTCTATGACTTCATCTAATCTAACTCACAGGAATGGAGCACAACTTCAGGAAGATCGCCACTCTGAACCAGGGCACTCCCTACGACTACGGCTCTGTCATGCAGTACTTCAGGTGAGAACAGCACCAGCCATTCTCCATGTACACTATAGACTTCTCCATACAAAAAATATGTAGTAACAACTAAGTCTCAAGTCCCTATTTAGTCAGAGGAACCACCCAGTCTCCCTCCCTCATGTTCATGCAGGTGAAAAGTGGGTCTAACTGGCCACTTACTTTTTAGTTACTGCATCCAAAGAATTTCTGTGGATCAAATTTCCCAACAAAGACAGTGGTGTATATGTAAAAAACGTACCAGGAACTGAAAAGGGTTCCTCCATCCATCCATCCATCCATCCATTTTCTTCTGCTTATCTGGGGCCGGGTCAGGAAAAGGCTTCTTACAGAGTGAAAACCCTTATCTGATTGATTCTACTCTTCTTCCCATGGCCAGAACTGCTTTCTCCAAGAACGGTAAGCCCACCATGATCCCCATCCCCAATGCCAACGTGAGCCTGGGCAATGCCAGGGAGATGAGCTCCAATGACAAGAAGAGGCTCAACTCTCTGTACCAGTGCTGTGAGTGTCACCCACACAATCAGATGGTTCATACTTTAGATCTCTCTCAACTCATGAAGTATTTTTGTGTCGCAGAAGGATCGAGGTCTGGTGTAATCTGGAGACAGAAGATCGCTGCTCACTGTGATCCTGGAGAGGTCATAAATAAACATGATGTGAAATGTTAACCTGGTGTCTTTTACTTTACAATCCAGTAAAGTCATTCAGTTGATTAACTGATCTGTGGTGTCTTGGTCAACTAAAAAGTGTATTAGTTGAATAATCATTTTATTTAAATTACAATGATTTACATGCAGAAAGGAGAAGTGAGTGAAAGAGTGACTTATCATAAGATTTGGTCATTTTTGGTAGTCATATGTAAAAAGACAAAATTGTTGTTTTTGCATGAACTCTGGTGCAGGTGTCTTGCGAGTGAGAGCAGATTATATCAGATACATGTTGAGATCTTTCATTGTTTTGAGTGTTTTTAGTCGACCACTTGATCATCAGAACATGTCTTAAGTCGACAAATTATTTCTTAAGTAGAATACAGCACTATTGATATGTTCTCTTCCAATCAATGTGATAATTCAGCACTTAAAAGTAACATTTTTACAATCCATTTACTTATTTTGCACTATACTTTGTTTTGATGTATTGTCATTTTCTCCGGTGTCATCCACCTCTAAACGAACAATCAATCAATCAAACTTTATTTATAAAGCGCTTTTCGTGAAAAAATGTAACACAAAGTGCTTTACAGTGATTAAAAACAATCCCACATTATCATCCACCCACCAACCCAACCCCCACAGCTGCCCGACCCCACACAACCAAACAACCCAGACACGCACACACACGCACGCACACGCATGCACACACACGCATGCACACGCATGCACACACATGCACACACTCACGCACACACACGCACACACTAACATGGTAAAATACATAAAATTACCTATAGTAAAAAGTGAGGCTGAATACAGGCGAACCAGTTGAGAAAGCACCATCAGAGGAGCCGTCTACACCAGGAGCAGAGAGACGTCCACCACCACCAGGAACCGCCACAGGAGCCAGGGGAGAGATGAAGCCTAAGCACCAACCCTCCACCAGGAGCCCACAGGACAGACCCCGACAGCCACAGCCGACCTCTGCTCCTGATGCAGAGGCTCCTACAGAGGAAACACTGAAAATCCTAAAAATATGCGTTAAATAAATATAATAAAATGTGTACAATAGAAACAAGTAAAAGTATAAGATTTTAATCAAAAGCTAAGCTAAAAAGGTGGGTCTTGAGCCTGCTCTTAAAAACATGAACGTTCTCTGCAGCCCTGAGCTCCTCCGGCAGGCAGTTCCATAGACGGGGGGGATAATACTGAAAAGACGCCTCTCCGTGAGTGTGTGTCCTGACTTTGGGAATGACCAGGAGCTGCTGCCGGAGGAGCGCAGGGTCCGCGAGGGTTTGTAGGGTAAAAGCAGTTCTGAAAGATAAGCAGGCCCAAGACCATTAAGACATTTAAAAACCAGTAAAAGAACTTTAAAATCAATCCTGAAACTCACAGGGAGCCAATGCAGTGATTTTAAAACCGATGTAATGTGGGTAACCATATTCAACACATTACTGAAATACTGAAGGAACAATGCTTTCTTTCAAATGTAGATGCATATGTGAAATGGCTAAACAAAAACAAGTGCAGTTCAGAAGACTGAGTGAGAGTGGGTGTTTCCTCCTCTGAGCTTACATATGGGGACTGTCCAACACTGATAACAACAGACCCTCATGTGACATCACAATACTCTATAAATACTATACTTGTGTTAGAAAACAGGTCAGAATTCTATGGGGAAGTCTGATGAAGTCAGGGTCTTGTTCACGAGTGAGGGGAGGATGAAGGGTGAGATTGACAGGCGGGTGGGTGCAGTGTTGGCAGTGATGTGGTCACTGTATCAGACCTTTGTGGTGAAGAGGGACCTGAGCCGAAAGGCAAAACTCTCGATTGCGAATACAAGCGGTCAAAATGAGTTTGCTCTGCAGGGTGGCTGGGTGCTCCTTTAGAGATAGGATGAGGAGCTCAGTCACAGGGGAGAAGCTCGGAGTAGAGCCGCTGCTCCTCCACGTTGAGAGGAGCAGCTGAGGTGACTTGGGCATCTATTCTGGATGCCTCCTGGGCACCTCCCTCGGGAGGTGTTCCAGGCATGTCCCACTGGGAGGAGGCCCTGGGGAAGAACCAGGACACGCTGGAGGGACTATGTCTCTCGGCTGGCCTAGAAATGTCTTGGGATCTCCCCGGAGGAGCTGGAGGACGTGTCTGGGGTGAAGGAAGTCTGGGAGTCCCTGCTTTAGACTGCTGCCCCTGCGACCTAGGCCCAGATAAGCAGAAGAAAATGGATGGATGGATGGAGTTTACTCAAGTGTCAGATTGCAGTTTTATTTAGCAGGTTTAAGATCTGTGAAATTACATGGCTTATCCACATGAAACAAAAGCTGACACAAAGCTCAATGTCTTTTAATGAATTCATTTTATTTATGTATTTATTTCAAACAGCGGTTTTCATCGCTGCGGTCTCACTTACATTATACTATTACAGGGTATTCGCGAAGGCCCGGAAGATCATAATATGATCCCGCCCATAACTGAATGAAATATGATTGGCTCAGACAACTGTCAGTCTCAAACTGATACCCAGACTAACTCGTACGGACCTTTGTTCCAGCCACCAAAGGCCCTTCTTTAGTTCAGTGCTGCAGAAGGAGTCACTGATTTACTCAGATACCATTGGAAGAAAAACTGATTGGTCCATTTCCATTCCATTATATTAACTCTTTGTTTCCCAAGAAATATCAGTCCAAGTTTATAAAAATGATCTAGAAATTATTACTAGTGTAGTGTTTATTCCTCACTGATTAAGAAAATATTGAAAAAATATATTAGTAGTGCAAAAATTAATTCAGTATTTTTTCTTGAGCCTTCAGAATACCTTGAAGGCTCTGAGGTTCCCCTCTGAAAGAAATACTGTTAGTCTGGCTCTTTCATTTACATTTCCAATAAAAGTGCACTTTACTCTACTTTTTAATTCATTAATTTATATATATGTGTGTGTGTTTGTGTGTGTGTGTGTGTGTGTGTGCGCGTGCGTGTTCCTGATATTGCCATTGCTTGGTATTGCGATGTCAGTCCTAATTATTCACTATAGTGGGCTTATAAGTGCTTTTCTAACAGTAACTAGCATGCCAAACCACACTTCCTGATTGTAAAACATTTTATTGACAGCATGTAGCTGACTTATTTTGATCTTCAGAGCTGCTTATACAATACATCTGTACTGGGACAAGACACATTTTACTTAAACACATGGGAAAAATCTGATACAGGGCCTTTAGGCCTCAAGTCTGGTTTTGAAATGAAGTTTGTACAATGATTTATGTCTACAAATTTTCCCTTCACAAATGCTCTTATGATACATAGTCAAATAGTACTTAGTAATAGTAGTAATATTAGTAGTAGTTTGGCAGATAAGCTGTACACAGAATTGTACGTCACCTTCTGTGACCTTCTCAAAAGTGCTAACTCTTGAAAAAGTTAAGCGTTCAGCCAGGTGCATTTTCTATAGGTTTTTCCCAGCAGTTATCTGCTGTATATTCATGACCTCCACAAAGCAGGAGAGAGTCAGTATAAAAAGGCTCAGGCTCTGAGCTCAGTGTGTGTGGGTTAGGATCTTATGGTAAGCTTTTGTACCTCATTAAGGGCCAGTCCAGAGTTTTGCTCTTCAGCTCAATAGAACATCTTGTCTCCACAGGTCTCCAGGATGTCTCCTTCCAGGTTCTCCGTGCTGGCTCTGCTGCTGCTCTCGGCATACTGCTGGGCTGAGGAGGTACACTCTACATTAGGCTGATTCTTAATATACTTAGTCCAAAAACTGAATTTTAACATTTTCATTTTCTATTGTTATTCTCACCCTGCTATCCAATAAACAGTCAGGTAAGATTTCAGTCCACTAATATATACATTAAAAAAATCTGAATAATATAAACTTTCTTTTTTCTATAGACCTTTCTGTGTCTGAAATCATTGAGAACGCCAACAAAAACATTGGTAAGACTTTACTTATATTATGTGACTTTTATGAAGTGTTTCAGAGATTCAGCTCAGTGTGGGCTGTGGTGGTGACATCGGCCATCAGCTAAACAAATTATTTTGGACTAAAGACGTGCTGCCGGTCGATTACCGTAGCAAAAGCTCTAAAAAATAAATATAAAATAATAAATAAATAAATATAAAATAATATAAAATATTACTAGTACATATCTTCATGTATCTGACCAATCTCCAGTCACAAGACTACACCTGCAGGGGGAGTTCATGCAAAAAATTCTATTTATGCTAGAAAAAAGCACTAAAAGTACTTATATTTATATAAAGACAGATTCAATTTATGAATCATGAGTTTAATCTGACTTTTACATTTAAATACCAAAAAAAAGCTACTCTTGAGCTCGCTCGCTCGCTCCTTTCTGCTGTAGCCTCATAGATTAATAGATAAATAGACAAATAGACAAATAGATATTAAATAAATAATTTATTTATCCTGAAGAAAATGATATAATTCTATATAAATGATAAATGACAAATAGATATTTCTCCACTGACCGATTCATCGATACAGGCCAGCCTTATTTATTTTACATATTTCTATATTTTGTCTATTATTTGTCCAGTACAGTAAATGTAACTTGTTTCAAACATGTAATCTTTAAAAGGCCCATATTACACTATTTTATGACCTATGCTGTAAGTTCTTCTCTCAAAGTGAAAACACTCTGTTCCACCTTGTGATATCATGTGGTAATACAATGCTCCACTGTGTTTTTAAACTTCATACACTTTCACTACAGTCATTTGTATAATTTCAGCCCTGGAATTGCCAGTCTCTATTAAATAAAAAGGACTGACAGAAACTTCAGTTAAACTTTCACTGATGGCCCGTTCTCTAGTGGTCATATGGCGGTTTGTTGTTAAGGGGAAACACTGGCTGTATTGATCAGAACTCCAGATTTGAACATTGTGTTATTGTGGCTCCAGTGCGCCGTGAAGGTGAGCCCATGCTGATCGAGGGAGACATCGCCATCGACAACGAGGCTGAGAGGAACGCTGACCCCTGCACCTCCAGAGGCTGCAAGTGGGGAAAGTACACTGATGGAAAGGTTTACATTCCCTACTACATCGCCAACCACTTCTGTAAGAAACAACACTACACACCCATCATTGACCTGCCGGCAAATGCCACAATCAACCGATGTGTCTGTGTCCTTTCAGCTTCCAGGGAAAAGTCCATCATCACCCGTGGTCTGGAGTCTTTCTCCTCCTTCTCCTGCATCCGCTTCAGACCTAGCAGAAGCTCTGACCGTGACTGGCTGAGCATCGAGTCCAGAGACGGGTAAAGCCACTCCTTCACTTAGACAGCATTATAAGGGTAGGGTTTTGCTCAATGCTTTTGTCCCCTCTGGACTGGGAGATTTTCACCTTTAAGGGCAGCATAATGAAACAGAGTGAAGGACCACAGACTAGAGCACAATAAAGTGAATCATTCAAATGTTGCTGTAAGTTTGTACTAAGCTACCACACATTTATTAAGGATTTATGGAATACTAATGCTCAGTCTGTATCACAGCTGTTTGTATCTCCACTGTGACAGGTGATGCCATCATGCCAGATTTATAGGGCAGATCTGTGCAAGCCAACCAATTAATTGCCCTTCCACTGTTAAAAACAATGCTTGGTGTTTGTAATTGTCCCTATTATAATCAGACAGCAGGACATAGTTAGATTTGCAAACTAAACTTTTCACACAAATCAGACTTGTGTCAGAGTTAGTAAAAGTAAACTTTTTTCCTGCCTGCAGCTGCTGGTCGTACGTGGGTCGCCGTGGAGGAAAGCAGACTGTGTCTCTGAACCGTGGAGGATGTCTGTACCACAACACTGTCCAGCATGAACTGCTCCACGCTCTGGGCTTCAACCACGAGCAGACCCGCTCTGACAGGGACAACCACATCAGGGTGCTGCTGGAGAACGTGGTGTCTGGTGAGACAGGCCAGAAATACATTTAATGACAAATCAAAGGTTAAAACATTATAGGAACTCAGTGGAGCTCAACAGCCTGACCCCCTGGTTCGGGAAGTCAATTTCCCATTCATTTTTCTCATAGACTTTTCAAAAAAAAAAAAAGTTGAAAGCTCTTGGCTGATTGTGCTAATGATCTAAAATGGGTTCAAGATCTGCCTTTGAAAATTTAAAAACTGCTAAGTTATTTAAAGATTTGGCCAAATCAACTGTATTATGAATATTAGCACAAAGCTGGTTAGCCTCTGTGATGCCTTTGAACTATTAATATGTGAATTTTTTGTAAAGTCTATGGGAAAAAAATATGGAAAATGGAGTATGGTGGACTGCAAAATGAGCAGGACTGTTGAGTTCCATAGGGGTCTTCACTTTCACAGGAATGGAGCACAATTTCAATAAGATCGCCACTCTGAACCAGGGCACTCCCTACGACTACGGCTCTGTCATGCAGTACTTCAGGTGAGAACAGCACCAGCCATTCTCCATGTACACTATAGGCTTCTCCATACAAAAAATATGTAGTAACAACTAAGTCTCAAGTCCCGTCAGAGGATTACTTTTTACTTATGGAATCCAAAGAATTTCTGTGGATCAACTTTTCCAATAAAGACAGTGGTGTACATGTAAATATATTCTTGTCTTCTTCCCATGGCCAGAACTGCTTTCTCCAAGAACGGTAAGCCCACCATGATCCCCATCCCCAATGCCAACGTGAATCTGGGCAATGCCAGGGAGATGAGCTCCAATGACAAGAAGAGGCTCAACTCTCTGTACCAGTGCTGTGAGTGTCACCCACACAATCAGATGGTTCATACTTTAGATCTCTCTCAACTCATGAAGTATTTTTGTGTCGCAGAAGGATCGAGGTCTGGTGTAATCTGGAGACAGAAGATCGCTGCTCACTGTGATCCTGGAGAGGTCATAAATAAACATGATGTGAAATGTTAACCTGGTGTCTTTTACTTTACAATCCAGTAAAGTCATTCAGTTGATGAACTGATCTATGGCATCTTAGTCAACTAAAAAGTGTATTAGTTGAATAATCATTTTTTTAGATTACAATGATTTACATGCAGAAAGGAGAAGTGAGTGAAAGAGTGACTTATCATAAGAGTTATCATAAGATTAGAAACTGGTCCACCCAAAGGACAAAATACCGAGCCATAAACAAAGCAATGTGGTCTACTGCATTCAGTGCAGTGAAGACTGCATTGAGCACTTCATTGGAGAAACTAAACAAGTCACTTCACAAGAGGATGAACCAACACAGACGACAGAGCAACAGTGGACCTCAGTCTGCTGTACATCTCCACTTAAAAGCCATGGGCCACTCATTTGAGGACAACAAGGTACAGATTTTAGCCAGAAAAAAGAAGTGGTTTGAGAGGGGAGTGAAAGAAGCCATTTTTGTTAAAAAAGAAAATCCTTCTCTAAACAGAAATGGAGGCCTCAGACACCATCTATCTCCTATTCACAACTCCATCCTCAAACCTAAAACAAAACATACAAGAGAACAGGTGTACCAGGTCAGGTCCAGAGGTGTGGAAGCTCCATTATGGCCATGAATTGTTATGCTAATTAAACCCCACAACCTGTACAGGTCAACAGGCCAAACTGTAAACAAATGTGTGTGTTAGTTTCAGTGTAGTTAGCTCCTCTCTGCAGACAGATATAAGGAAGTGTCCACCAGCGTCTGACCAGAACTGAAGAAGCAGCTTGGATGAGCCGAGAAACGTCTTCAACCATACTAACTTTTGTCCAGTCGACAAACTGAATTTTCTCCTCTCCATGGATTCTACCTGGACGACTGAGGGATTCACACTCTCACATACATATATTCTCCTCTCACATACATATATTCTCACTTTCATCCAAACATTCTCTTCTATGGAGTAAGAAAGCTTTCAGAAATATTTGTGCGCACAGAATAGAAATCCGTGCATATTTGGCTGTAGTTGCTCATAAAATAAATATTTGTAAACTCTCAAATGAGTCCAGTCGTACATAAGATAGATTGTGTGTATTTTATCCATCAGAATATGAATTGAAAAGTTATGACATCAAGAATTACAATCACGAAATGAAAATTTACGATCACTCTTTCATCTGTACGAATACAAATTCACAGACGGGACTTTACTGTCAAAAATACGTCATCACTTCACTGACATTATTTATCAAGCAAAAGAAACATCAATCAAGATCAAGACTGTGCATGTTTAAGTTATAGCACAGAGTCAAAATGGAGTAATGGCACAAGAAGGATCTACAACAGCGACCAACAAGTGGTCTTGTCTTGCCACATTGAATTTGGGAACTGAACGCTGCTGTGTAATATTGTGTAGAAACACCTCCTCTGAACGGGAAATTGCACCTGTATCTTAGATAACATAGTGGAGCCAGTTGGCGAACATCAGCCGTAACGTTATTCCAGGGCTAATTAGCAAATATCTGCGTTCTCTGTATGTTTAGATTAAAACATTCATGGCTACAGCCACAGCGAGCATCAGTCAGTCTTAACCTTCATCTCAGCTGCATTTCTCACATGAAATGTGACCAAAAGTTCCTCGGGAAATGTCCCAGTTTACACCAAGCACTACCACACTGTCCTGGTTACAGACAGTGGGTTATATATGAATTATAATGGGTTATAATGAACTAGCAAATCCATCCACGCCACAACACGGTGATGTTATACTCACAGGTAAATATACATAGCAAGGTGTTGCCTGTAAACATGAACATTAATTAATGCTGGGAGCTGCATTAAACTGTAATGTGTAACATTTCATTGGCTGTGACATCTGTAACCAGGACAGTTTGGTAATGTTTGACTTGTGCCATTACTCCATTTTGACTCTCTGCTATAACTTAAACATGCACAGTCTTGATCTTGATTGATGTTTCTTCTGCTTGATAAATAATGTCCGTGAAGTGATGACGTATTTTTGACAGTAAAGTCCCGTCTGTGAATTTGTATTCATGAGTGATCGTAAATTTTCATTTCGTGATTGTAATTCTTGACGTCATAACTTTTCAGTTCATATTCTGATGGATAAAATACACACAATCTATCTTATGTACGACTGGACTCATTTGAGAGTTTACAAATATTTATTTTATGCGCAACTACAGCCAAATATGCACGGATTTCTATTATATGCGCACAAATATTTTTGAAAGTTTTCTTACTCCGTACTCTCACATACATACATTCTTCTCTCACATACATATATTCTTACTCTCATACATGTATTCTCACTCTCACATACATATTTATTACTGTCATATACCTATATTTTCCTTTCATATATACAGAGAATATGTGCATGTGAAAGAAGAATGTATGTATGTGAGAAAAAGTATAGTGAAAATGGAAGCAGTATAGTGGACATGGAAGGCCAGGCATTTATCAAGCTGTGATTGGCTGAAAATGTCCCGATCCACATGTGTTGATGACACAAATTGTAACTCATACAGTATTATGGAGGAACGCGAGATGACACACCAAAGCCATGTCCCAATTCAAGGGCTGCAGACTTCGTTGGCTTTCTGCCACATACATCACAACCGGCGCAACAAGGCCTATTCCATTTTATGCAGCCCACAAATGCAACCTGCGTTTCCACGGAGATGAGCCGTCTGGAAAGAGGTAAAAACATGTGAGTACACACTTTTTTTGAGCAAAAAGTTTGGCTAGTAATCCAGACTCACTGTGGAGGAAGTCCAGACACACTGAGGAGTAGATCCAGACTGCAGACCTGTGGGGCCTCTGGTTGCATCAGGCCTCCCTCCTGCGCAGGCTGTCCGCTGCTGTCCCTATGTGTCCTAATATTGATGTGTCCATGGAGTTTAGCTTTAATGTCTAATTTCCTGCAAAGTAAAATAGTAAAACGTTTCTTTTCATCTTAGCTGAGGAGCACCTAAACAGCTTTATCACTGAGCAAGTGTGCCATAATAAATTGTCTCGCCTTGTGGCCTTGTATGACCTTAACAAGTGTATGAGACAAAACTGAAAACATATCATTTGTTCATGATACAAGACAAGATGAATGCTTGTAAAAATGATAGTAAAATGAAAGGAAAACAATGTAGTTCTTTCATTAAATCTGTAGTGAACTCCACTTGGGACTGATAAAAATGTGCCCACACATAACAAGCCTGTTTTCTTCTGTTTCTCTGTCGTTCTGTGGTGATGAACAGACAGACCGACAAACTCCTCGCTCTGCACGAGCTGCCTCAGCGCTCACGACACAAGACACACCAAATGACACAGTGTATCAGTCATACAGCTGTTTTTACTGACCTATTAATGCATTGTATGTGTGTAATGGGTTCAGTGTTTGACTATTCACATTACAATAAAGTATTTACAGAACTTCCTTTGATTGTATAGACCATCTCTTCTCAAAGGAAATATGTCTTTCTTTCTAAACTGACTTAAATGTAACCCCATATCTTAATTAATAATGCATAGCTCATCACAGTTTTTGTTACTTTAAGGTAATTTAGCCTATTTTAGAAGTATCCCAGAAATATAGCTGTTTTGTTTTGCAGTTAAACATACATTTTAGTTTTTTGGCTATACAATTTGGATGAGAATTATTAGAATAACTTGGTCTCAAAATCCTACAGTTTAATTACCTGTACGTAATCTTTGTTGTTGATTATATATATATATATATATACATATATATATATATATATATATATATATATATAATATATATATATATATATATTATATATATATATATAGTAGTAGTTTTATATAGTATATATATACACTTTCTCTCACATTATGTGACGTGCGGTGTGGTTCATGACTAGTGAAGCACTGACTCTTTTTTACAAATGGAAATTAACCCCAAATGGAAATTAACCCAAAAGAGCACTATAAACAGCATCTTTATACAAACATGATGCATTTTGTATTAAAGGGCAAATTTATTTCAATTAAGCCTATTTTAACCTAAAATAATCCAAGTTTATCTTACCTTTACTTGAAGATCAAATCCATGGACAAAAATGTCAGTAACTTTGTTGTAGAAGTCCTCCTTATTGTCCTTCAGTTTCAACAGTCTCTCTGACTCGATGGAGATCATCGCCAGGGATGAAAGACATCCTTGACCAGTCCTGTTCCGACTTTATGTTTTAATTATTTTAATGCTGAGAAGGATCTCTCCACAGAAGCTGTTGTCGCTGGTATTGTGAGCACTAACTGGAGTAGTTGCTTCAGGGACAGTCTGGATGAGGTCGTTCTGGGCCAAAAAGCTGAGAAGTTGTCCAGGAGACTTGCTTTCATTCCTCACCGTTTGGGAGCTATACAGCCCGATTAGATCCACCTTTAGTCTCACAAAGTGAAAAAACCTTGCATATTTTGACAAGCTCTACAGTTTTGTGTCATCAAAATGTTGTGACATTTCACTAAATTTTGTGCAATCCAATAAACCAAGGAAAGCTGGCTCACCAAAATTTTCAAACCTGATCACTGATGTTGTCAAAAATATTACAGAACACTTGCCTATGTTCATCTCTGACTGACTCTCATCCTGTGTTTGTCAGACCAAGTTCGCCACATTTCTGCTCAAATTGGTCATAAAAATGATCAAAATCCTGTCTTTTGAGTTCTAGAGCCCAGAGTGTGTCACGGATACCCCCACAACAATACTGCATATCCAACACTTTGTTTTGCAGTACTCTAAAAAGTGAGTCTGTTTCACTGAAAATGTCCTCATATGTCATAAGTAAGAAGACAGCCACCGATCGTATCCTGTTGCCATCATCAAAGTCGCATTATCCCAGTTGTCAGGATTTTCCTCCATGATGTGGAATACAGCACGCAGATCATTTTGGTACATGCTTATTGTCTGGACCAGCCTGGAGTTAGAGCTCCATCTTGTAGGTGCTGCTCTGGGTGCATGCACTTGATGGACTTGTTCAAAAATGCCCCTAGTCCCTCAACTGTTTTAAAAACCACTCGACATTCAGAGATGCATTTTGCTGAATGCATTAGTACAAGGTTTAACTTGTGTGCGTAACAGTGGGTGAACATGGCTTCAGGAACCTTTTCTTTTATTTTAGCCTGCACCCCATTAAGGTCTGATGCCATTACAGCAGCCCCATCATATGTCTGGGCTACAAGCTTTTCAACACAGGTGGATTTCTCCAACACACTATAATATACTCGGCTATAGCAGGGGCTCGTCTACCTGCACTCACGTCGTCAAAACCCAAAAACGCCTCCTTCACTTCACAATCTGCTTCAGTTTTTGCATAGCGCAAAATGACAGAGATCTGAGCTTTATTTGCAGTGTTGGGGAGTAACAGATTACATGTACCAGAGTTACATAATCAGAGTACAAATGATGAGTAACTGTATTCAGTTACAGTTACTGTTTCAGTGAGTGGTAATTGGATTACAGTTACTTTGTTGAAATAAATGGATTACATGGTGGTATTTTCCAGTTTTCACATTTTGGACTATATTCCTTTTTTTTTTTTTTTCCTTTTTTTGTTTTTAACCAAGTCTAAACCAGGACTTATTCAGGATTGAACCAGGACTGAACCCAGGTCTAAACCAGGACTAAAACCAGGTCTAAATCAGGACTAAAACCAGGTCTAAACCAGGTCTAAACCAGGACTAAAACCAGGTCTAAACCAGGTCTAAACCAGGACTAAACCATGTCTAAACCAGGTCTAAACTAGATCTAAACTAGATCTAAACCAGGACTAAACCAGGTCTAAAACAGGATTTAACAGGACGAAACCATGCCGTGCGGGCCCTGTTTCCTCCTCTTCTATCAATAATATTTTTAATTTGGTAAAGTAAAGTTTGGGCTTTTTATTTTCTTTTAGCAGACAAAACATCTTATGTGAAGATTTCCTCGTCTTTCCTTCTCTACAGCAAATCAAGTAATCCAAAGTATTCAGATTACATTACTCACTTTAAGTAACTTAATGGATTACGTTACAAACTACATTTTAGGGTATGCAATCTGTAATTTGTAGGGGAATACATTTTTAAAGTAACCTTCCCAACACTGTTTATTTGTCACATCACTTGTGTCGTCTACTTCTACTGCTACAAATGAGGCTGCGTTAATTTATTTTCTAATATAATTTCTGATGACATCGCTGACTGCTTCAATAAGATCATTTTGTATTCTATTTGACGAGCCAGAAAACACAGTGGATGTAGTCAATTGTTTCGCTAGCCTCTCGTCTTTCTCCGCAAAAGCCTATAATATTTCCCATGGTTAGCGCTGCCTGCGCTCTCGTCATTGCCACGAAATTCTAGCTGCTGCTTAGCGAGGAAACAGGATGCGTTAATGAGGTCTTTTCAAATTTCTCTGTTCTCTTTTACCTTTGCGTTGTGTAGGCTAATGTTGAGTCTCCGCTGTTCATCCAAGGCCAAGTCTATCCTTGAAACCTCAAAAGTTTTCAAAGCGATCTGACTTTGAATGTGAGTGGCTGATCGCTCATGCTTGCTGAGGCTTCTAGGCAAGGCTTCTTCATGTCACAATATCCAGTTTGAGTCCATACATTGTCATTAATTGAAAACAAAAGACAAGGAAAACAGAAAAGGCGGTTTCTCATAGGACATCCACACAGCCAGTTTTTTCGAGCGCACCACTCCGTTTGAAAACTCCGAGTAATGTTCTTTGCCGTAGTCTGAAGCAAACCTTTCAGCTCCGGTGTTGGTCTTCCTTTGTTTATTACGTCTTGCTTTGATTGGAAATCCAGATTTGCGAATCTTTTTCAGTTTGGAAATGTAATCATCCATTGTGATTATTTAGGCAGAGTATTATGAATAAAAATTAACCGCGCAAGAATCTACTCACAGCGCCCTCTTCCTTGAGTCAGGCGTACTGTTTGCCTCACCGAGTAACTTTTTACTGCTGTTTTATAACTAATCTGCGAGCTTATACATGTTAGAGAAATATATCTCATACATAATCCAAATTTTGGAAAGTCAGAACACATCGTCAGAGTGTTTTATTTTGGATAGACAGGACAGTGACACACATTATTTGCATCGCATACAGACACTTTGTTAGGTATTACCAAAATATTTTTATTACTGGATTTATACGTGGGCAAAGGCCCGGCCACCAGGCGCTTGCTTTCGAGCCTCAACCCCAGGCCTGGCTCTAGGGTGGGGCCCCGGCTGCGCCATACCGGGCAACATCACGGTCCTTGTTTTTAACAGGGGTCGGGTGCGATGTGAACTAGGCAGCGGTCGGGGTCAGGGACCCCGGCAACTTAGTCCACGGACACAGAAACTGGCTGTAAGGACGTGGAACGTCACCTCACTGGGGGGGAAGGAGCCTGAGCTTGTGCGGGAGGTTGAGAGGTACCGGCTAGATGTAGTCGGGCTCATCTCCACGCACAGCTTGGGCTCTGGTACCCAACCTCTCGAGAGGGGTTGGACCCTCCATTTTTCTGGTGTTGCCTGCGGGGAGCGGCGGCGAGCTGGTGTGGGCTTGCTTATAGCCCCCACAGGTCAGCCGCTGTGAGTCCCTGTGCCTTCGGGTCGGGGACAGGTCTGTCACTGTGGTGTCGGCCTACGGGCCGAACTTAAGTACCTTGGCAACAGCAGATACTTTAGAGCATATGGGATGCAAGATTTAATACATGGACAAAACATTTCACATTTTGGTAGCCTGTTCAGTCCATTGCTACACACATGATGGGTGCATTGTCAGTGACATCCACAGGCTTCTTGGCTCTGCCAATGATTCTGCCAATGTGGCCAAACCTCCTTTTCAAAGACTAATCTCGTCAGATCAAAGGCTAAGCAGGACCGGCCCTTCATCCACATTGTCTGGTATGAAAGTGGTGTGTGCATGAGTGTTGGTGGTGATTGGCAGCTCCACTTCCGTCAGTCTATGCCAGGGCAGCTGTGGTTACAATAGTAGCTTACCACCCACCACCAGGTGCAGAGTGAATGAATAATGCAATGTAAAGTGAGTGTACAAAAAGCATTATATAAAACGGATTGCAATCACTGTGTATAAAATGTACCATGAACAGCACAACAGCCTTTCACCATACTGAGGTCAGGTTAGATGTTAAGATTAGAGGTTAAGGTTAGAGGTTAGGTCAAATTTTCCTCAGGGCTCTCACATTCTTCACCATTTTATTGAAACTAGTTCTCAATCATCATTCTTAAGGCTTCAGGTACTGCTAAATCCCTATGCCCTACCCATATGCCTTCTGTGCATCCCTGGCTGTGTCTTCAGTAGATCATCATGCACAGTCTCATATAGTGTCATCTAATGTTCATTGTGGACACACGTCACTGATAGCTGCCCAGTCTGCTATCTTCACATTCTCCACCACATCCTCCATGTGACCATCCAGACCTGACCATATATGTATGCCCTCCTTTCCTTTCTTCAGAAAGTGTAAGGTCTTACACTTTATACCCTGCCTTGAGGCAATATCATCAGAAAACTCACCATTAACTTCCATGGCTGTACTCATCAGAGAAACTAGATCAGACTGATCAATTAGACAAGTTTAGAGCCTATGTGAAAGGCATAGAAAATAGGATGACAGTTATTTATCAGCTTCCTAACCCTGGAAAAAGAAAGGTCATTGTACTAGGCTCCAATATTCTTCCATAATTTTTAAGTAAAAGTATTACTTGACATGCACACAACTCCTCATCCTGTGAAGCACACATGTATATAAGCAAATATCCTCATTCATTTTAGATATGATACCATCTTCTCCGCTGACTGTAGAGAAAGTGACAGCTGTTTTCCATTTATCTTACAGTAAATCACCTGCATTTTTATAAGTTTTTCCCAGCTGTTATCTGCTGTACATTCATGACCTCCACAAAGCAGGAGAGAATCATTATAAAAGGCTCAGGCTCTGAGCTCAGTGTGTGTGGGTTAGGATCTTATGGTAAGCTCTTGTACCTCATTAAGGGCCAGTCCAGAGTTTTGCTCTTCAGCTCAATAGAACATCTTGTCTCCACAGGTCTCCAGGATGTCTCCTTCCAGGTTTTCCGTGCTGGCTCTGCTGCTGCTCTCAGCCTACTGCTGGGCTGAGGAGGTACACTTTTTGTGACTAATATCCAGAATATATCAGTAGTTCCGTATCTGCATAGCTTAACATGCTTTCTTTGTTTTCCTGAATATAATGCTATATTTTGTCCTCAACTGGATAGTCAGGTACAAACCCCTTCAGCCATACATAAAAACATTGTTTGGGAATTGCAGTATATTGCTTTATTTTTATATTATTTGCAGAACTGTCTGCATCCGAACTTCTGGAGAAAGCCAATGCCAACATTGGTAAGCTCCTCTCTTAGTATATTAAATTAAATAGAGCTACAGTACATCGTTTTGTGCCTATGTGGCTCTAGTACGTCGTGAAGGTGAGCCCATCCTTATTGAGGGAGACATCGCCATCGACAATGAAGAGGAGGAGAGGAACGCTGACCCCTGCACCTCCAGAGGCTGCATGTGGGGAAAGTACACCGACGGAAAGGTCTACGTCCCCTACTCCATCTCCAACAACTTCTGTGAGAACCACAACAGTACAGAATCAAAACAGTAAGCACTGAACCAAATGACAACTGATGGTGTCCTCTCAGCTTCTAGGGAAAAGTCCATCATCACCCGTGGTCTGGAGTCTTTCTCCTCCTTCTCCTGCATCCGCTTCAGACCCAGCAGAAGCTCTGACCGTGACTGGCTGAGCATCGAGTCTCAGAGCGGGTAACAGAAAACCACTCACCAACAGTTTGCCCATTACCAAACACTTCTGTAGCCACGGCTGCCCTGGGGTAGACTGATAGAAGCAAGACTGCAAAGCTATGTCATCAACCCCTCTGACTACCACCAACACAAACAAACACACTTCATTCATAAAAAGACAAGGAAGCTGAAGTGTCATGCTCAAGGACAATATGCATTTTACTGGTCTACAACCAAACCTGACCTAAACTTAAGCTTGTGGTGTATTTGTTCTCTTTTTTTCTATAGAATCTAAAATCACACATTCAAATTTGACTGAATTCGTGTTATGTGCTCCTGTGTGCAGCTGCTGGTCGTATGTAGGTCGCCGTGGGAGAAAGCAGGTGGTGTCTTTGTCCCGTAGAGGTTGTCTTTACCATCAGACTGTCCAGCATGAGCTGCTCCACGCTCTGGGCTTTAACCACGAGCAGACCCGCTCTGACAGGGACAACCACATCAGGGTGCTCCTGGAGAACGTGGTGTCTGGTAATGCCCTCCAGATGATTCTCCTGTTTTGTATTATGTCCTCCAGTGATTTTTTTTTTTTTTTAGATAAACATCATAACTTTAGAAAGATCGCCACTCTGAACCAGGGCACTCCCTATGACTACGGCTCTGTCATGCAATACCACAGGTAAGCACAGAACTGCAGCTGCTCAGAGTCACCAGGGGCACACTGGCTCAGCTGTGCTCAGGAGACAGACCACTCCTGAACTCATACTGGACTTACACTAGCATCATCCTCATCATCATAATCATCATCATCAAAGCATCGCATACAGTACAGCAGCACTTCAAGAGCACCACCAGGTCTCCGTGGGATTTCTAGAGACAGACTTCATAAGAGCAGCAAACTTCCTGAGGCTAACTTAGAAGGATGGGGTTATAACAACTGCACAGCCATATGGTCATTCTTGAAGCAATCTCCTTAGCAAGCAGGATGTAATTCTTCCTTCTTTTTTAAAGGACTGCTTTCTCCAAGAATGGTAAGCCCACCATGATCCCCATCCCCAATTCCAATGTCAACCTGGGAGGAGCTAGGGAGATGAGCGCCAATGACAAAAAGAGGCTCAACACTCTGTACAAGTGCTGTGAGTGTTACCCCGCCCCTTCACTGACCACACCCTCCAATACAGCTCCATATGCTTAGAAACTGTTATTGTATTTCAGAAGGAAGACACCCTCATGGACTGGAGAAGCCTCAAGCCAGCAGACAGCTGATCACTGTGACTTCCTGAACTACAGTAAAGAACAACAAAGAAATACAAATAAAACACATGTACAGTCTAATCCTGTTATTGTATAAAACTGAATTTTTCAACAGCCAATCTCACACAGACTAGACTCCTCTAGCTTCATTTATACAGCAAGGGGCTTAACTCTGTAGGCGTGTTTGCCTTGAGTAACTTATCTTAAAGATCACATATCTGCTCTATGCTCTGTGTTTTAACTCACATTTGCACATTTTAAATCACAATATTGATCTAAAACAACTTCATAAAAGAGACAAGTCAGCTGATTTCATTAGAAAAGAATTGGTGTTATGGATCTATTGGGGCAATGTATAAATGGCTCATACCAAGCTCGCCACAGAAAACACTGATATCTGTGCAGACCTGTGGGCACTGTCTACATAAAATGTAAATGCTCTTATGTGACTTCCTTTTTGCCCTGTCTGAAGTGGAGATAGATTTCTGTACTCAAGGTACTGTCAAGGCAAACAGACGCTGTCAGTCCGGTGCAGCACACACTTATCTGTACTCATGAACTTATGAAATAATATGCAGTCAAAATAAACATGGATGCAGCATTTAAAATCAAATATTAGGTTTATTAAAGCTGGATCCCTGGCACGCCCACTTTGCTCAAGTTGACATATCGCTCCCAACAGATCCTTAACACTGGCAACTCATATGGATAGCTGCAGATCACACTAATGAGTCGCAGATTTGAACTAAAAATGGATCCAAGATGCTGCCAAATCCTACGTGTATCACAGATTAAGAAAACAAAATTAGAGGACAGTTAATACAGAGCAGTGGCAGTGCACTTGACTGTGACAGTGAAAATAGGAACTGATCTGCAAAATTGCATCTTGAAAATAAGAGACTAAAGATTATGCAAACATACATTCCAAATAAAGGGTAAAGGGAAATGAGAAGGGAAACAGCTATATCGTGTAAATGCTCGGAAAAGTTGATTTTGCAGAATAGGTCAGTTTTAACAAATCTATGCACATACAGTTCATCAGGTCAGATGGTTATTCAGACTGAAAATGTATGATTGATTTTCATGTTTTTCAAAACCATAGTTTCACCTCAGTCAGGAAGCATTTTTTGGAGAAAGGCTGGAAGAAAAACACTGGAAACTACAGGAAGTGCTAAGTTCCATGTAAAAACAATAAAAGAAGTTAAGCAGGGCTGGGCATGGTTAGGTAGGAGGCCGCTGGAAAAACTGTCGTTGTGTCCTTAGGCAAGACAATTCACCCACATTGTGCCGAGTATGAATGGGGTGTTGGTGGTGATGGAAAGGGCTGATGATACAGATTGATAACCTTTCTGCCTTCAGTCTGCCCCAACAGAAATTTACCACCAGAGTGTGGAGTGAATGCATAATACACTGTGAAAAGCTCTGGGTATCTTGAAAGGCACTAAGTCCAGTAGTTTAAAACACAAAAATCCACATTTATTTAACAAAATTAAAGTATATTGTCTAATCATTATTACTGTTAAGCAAACAAACTTTAAGACATGAGATTATGACCAGCTTGTAGAACCAATCTCCATCACATAATGATGAGAACACCACAAAAGTGATGCATATTTCAGGTATTACACAGAACCTCTCAGAGCTAAATACACCCCTGCCCTTCATCTGAAATTGTGGCAAGTTATGTTAAAATGTAAACAGCAAACTGAAATTATTCAAATGAAAATGTGTTCTGTGTTCTTTGTGCATACTGTGACTGGTCTACATCTGTTCAACTTCACACAAACATTTGCAGTGACTGATAAAGGGTGCTGCTGGGGTGATAAATATGTGTACTGTATCAGAGTTCGGTTGATCAGAACAGTTCATACAGGTCTGCTGTCACCATGGTGATATTTTCCTGGACGTTTGTGACTCTCTTGTTGGTGTCCTCTGCCTGGGCTGAAGAAGGTAAAGAATGATGAATATATTATACCCAATCCATGGTTAAAGTTGTATGTTGTGACACTTCAGACAATCAGATTCAAATAGTTCTAACGTTCCACATTTTTCTGATCACTTTAAATGAAAGCCTTTTCAGATTGATAATGTGTAGAATTCAGTTCAGAGTGACACACACGTATCAGTCTGAGGTAAGCCAGGTTATATTTTTGGGAAGTATATGGGAGTATGCTACTACTGTAACCATACTCATTCTACTACATCGCCAACAACTACTGTAAGCACAGTGGTGATCATTATTTAGCACAAACTGGCAGATGACTAAATGCCCCTTTGTCTCCACTGGAGTCATACAAGTGTGGTGTTATATAATAGCCATTTTCTTTGTAATGTGAATGTGCATTGTGGACATCCATCTATTTTCTTCCATTTATCCAGAGCCGTCGCACGGGGACAGCAGTCTAAGCAGGGTTTCCCAGATATCCTTCACCCTTCTTCAGCTCCTCTGGGGGGACAGAATAATACAAAAAAATTAAAGACAGAAAAGTACAAAATCCTCACATATTTAATTGCAGTCCATTAACTGTTTTCAAATTTGTTCTTGCCCTTTCCTGGGGTCAATGCTGAGATCATTTTCTGAGTTGCTGTGGATATTCTATTTAGCTGACTGATTCACACTACATCAAAATTAGGACTAGACTAGAACAAAACCAAGTCCACATGAGAGGGACTAAAGTGAGCTCATAGCAGGACCAAACCAGAATGCACACCATATATTGACCACTGTCTTGTAATTTTGTCAAAAGTATTGAAAACAGATACTAATCAATACTCGCTCTGAGCACATAGACCAGTATTCTGCCCTACAAAGGCTCAAGACCTTAACTCTCCAGAGTGTGAAACTGAGAAAACTGACTTCAAAGTTTCTGTTTTGTCCAGACTAAAGTAGAATATGCAGGGCTTTCACAATTTGAAAACTAGTTGATATAATGAAGAAATATATATGCAAAAAATATTGAGCTCAAAATTGACCTTTGACCTTATTTGCCAGTTCCTGTTCTCTGTCTTTGTATCATGAGCCTAAAATAAGGAGTTGCTCAAAGGCCAAAGGCAGAAAGTGACCTGATCATTATTTGCTTGATTTTCTCCAGACTTCCAGCCATTCTAAGAAAAACCCGTCACCAAGCTCCAGTCAGCATGTGTTTGTTTGCAATAATATAGAACAGTTTTGGATTTCCTGTTTAGTTCTGATCAGGATCGTACGGCGACACTTGACTCTGCAGTAAAGTGTGTACAGTATGAATAAATACACACAATACTTCACATTAAATATCACTGAAGTATAATTGAATACAAAGTTTTATTTATTGAATGTGTTCAGAGCGTGTGCCAAGCCCACAACAAAAAGAAGGAGGCCAGAGGTTGGATTTTAAAATCAAATATATTTATGAACTAAATCACAAATGAACTCATTTTTGACCAAACATGATGCTACAGCGTTTTGTGTTTGTAGGGCAGAATACATCCATGGACCACTGCAGAGTCTATCTGGACAATGGAGGGATTAAACAAGCCACATAGGAATAGAAAAAGAAAGTAATATGATTTAATTGAGAAAATCACATTTTCTAAATGTGATTTTCTTATTATTATGATATCAGAATCAGTATTGAATAAGTCTATTTCTTAGTGTCAATAAGTTTGAAAAACAACTGTCTCGTAGAGGTTTCCTCCCGGAGAGATGTCCCTTCCAGAGAGCCGTCTGTGGGTGAACTGCTGGAGAGAGCCAACAGAAACCGCAGTGAGTGTAGATACACTAAGACCTCATTTGAAACCACTGAATGTGATATTGATAAGTGACTATTGATAATTGCCTGTTTTAGTTCCTGATGCTGATGAGCCCGCCCTGATTGGAGGAGACATTGCCATTAAATCTGAAGCGGACAGAAATGCTGACCCCTGCACCTCCAGAGGCTGTCTGTGGCTCAAGTACACTGACGGAAACGTCTACATCCCCTACTACATCGCCAACAATTACTGTAAGCACACTCCATTCTACAACTTCAACAACTACTACTATAAACATACTCCATTCTACAACTTCAACAACTACTACTATAAACATACTCCATTCTACAACTTCAACAACTACTACTATAAACATACTCCATTCTACAACTTCAACAACTACTACTATAAACATACTTCATTCTACTACTTCAACAACTACTACTATAAACATACTTCATTCTACTACTTCAACAACTACTACTATAACTACTATAAACATACTCCATTCTACAACTTCAACAACTACTACTATAAACATACTTCATTCTACTACTTCAACAACTACTACTATAAACATACTCCATTCTACAACTTCAACTACTACTATAAACATACTTCATTCTACTACTTCAACAACTACTACTGTAAACATACTCCATTCTACAACTTCAACAGCTACTATAAACATACTTCATTCTACTACTTCAACAACTACTACTGTAAACATACTCCATTCTACAACTTCAACAACTACTACTGTAAACATACTCCATTCTACTACTTCAACAACTACTACTATAAACATACTCCATTCTACTACTTCAACAAATACTACTATAAACATACTTCATTCTACTACTTCAACAACTACTACTGTAAACATACTCCATTCTACTACATCAACAACTACTACTGTAAACATACTCCATTCTACTACTTCAACAACTACTACTATAAACATACTTCATTCTACTACTTCAACAACTACTACTGTAAACATACTCCATTCTACTACATCAACAACTACTACTGGTTAGAACTTCAACATGAGTAATATTGTTTTGAAGTAACAGTAGTCTTACTTGAGAACTCTTGCAGCGGCTCGTGAGAGAGCCATCATTGAGCGTGGCCTGCAGTCCTTCTCCTCCTTGTCGTGCATCCGCTTCAGACCTTACCAGAACGGAGACCATGAGTGGATCAGCATCGAGTCCAGGAACGGGTAAATATACAGTCACTGGTAAAACAGTGCACAGCAGAGACTGGAAGAGTAGGATGGTTTACAACATTCTAAACAGCCCATATTTAACACTGAGCTGGAGGACAGGTCAGAATTCTATGGTCAAATTTGACAGTCAGATATACATTTAAATGATAATGCAGTTTCAGAGTCGTTTCAGTGTAGTTAACTCCTCCTGGCAGGCAGATATAAGACTGTGCCCACCAGCATTCTGACCAGAACTGAAGAAGCAGCTTGGATGAGCTGCGAAACGTATTCGACCAAAATAAACTTTTGTCCAGTTGACAAATAGAATTTCTCCTTTGCCACAATAATGTAGATGCCGTTACCTGGTTGGTGATGGAAATCCCACTAAACTTGGCAGAAACAACTCAACATCTTTGTTGGGGGTGTGTGTGTGCGTGTGTTTGCAGGTGCTACTCTTACGTGGGCCGACAGGGGGGAGCTCAGACTCTGTCTCTGGATCGTTTTGGATGTCTGTATCACAGCACTGTCCAGCACGAGCTGCTCCACGCTCTGGGCTTCAACCACGAGCAGACCCGCTCTGACAGGGACAATTACATCAGGGTGCACTGGGACAACATCATGGACGGTCAGAGCCCTCACACATCTGCTCTCTTCACACCAGTGAATGTGGTTACACTAGATTAGATTAATACTAGTTTCTTCTGTACAGTCCTATGTTTATTTCAGACGTTGACTGTTGCTGCTCTCTGCCGCCCTCCTCACAAGTGTCATGTGATGTGTCTGTGATGTGTCTGTGACGTGTCTGTGATGTGTCTGTGATGTGTCTGTGACGTGTCTGCCCAGATGACTTAAATGGGTTTTGGTGCCGTCTTACTTCTTGGAGCAGTAGAACAACAGTGCCATCTGCAGGCTGACTTCTTCAGAGTTAGAACCCCAGTGTGAGAGTCATTCTGCCCCCTTATTCCAATTCTCAGTCTTGGCATTATCCAGTCCATGAGATGATTTTCCCTTTTGTAGTGGGATACAGATCTGAGGAAGTCGGACTGCAGATGGCGCTGGTGTCTCAAAGTAGTAAAACTGTACCAACATCTGTTGAAATCAGCTGACCAGACATGTCACAGCAACATCACGAGACACTTGTGAGCCCTATAGATAGATGGATGGATGGATGGATGGATGGATAGATAGATGTGGACTCACCTGTGGCTCTGGCTTTTCGCAGACATGGCCTACAACTTTTACATCATCGACACTCTGAACCAGGGCACTCCCTATGACTACAACTCTGTCATGCAGTATGAGAGGTCAGCATCTGCTAATACAGCGCACGCACACACACACACACACACACACACACACACACACGCACACACACTTAGGGTTTACTTGTTATTAACCTTTAGCAATAAATATGAACAGAATGTACTCAAAACATTTTACAGCCAAAGCCCTCTTCAAACCCCCTGGTTTGACTGATCACTGAAACATTTTCAGAAAGAAAAGGGAAAAAAATGCATATAATGACTGACTATACATACTAGATCTGTTTTGATTATTATATCAGTATTTATCTATATCTATTCTGTTCATACTGAGACATAAATTAGGTGAAAAAGTTTCAGCTACTTTTGCTTATTGAAAAACTGATTTGGAATTCACATCACACAAATCAATAACCCAATAAACTTTATTTTTTGGATATAGAATAATGAACAATTAGGACTGTCGTCAGCAAAGTACATATTGTAATAAGAATAATCTCATGAAATTATATGAATATTATTTTTTGACATCCACACCTGTTTTACTACTAATCCATCAGTGTAGTTGCATTTTGTGCAGTTGTGCAGCCTGATATGTCTTCTACAATCTGTGCTTAACACAACAGTGAACTTGTGTTGGTGCAGGTACGCCTTCTCCAAGAACAACTTGCCCACCATGGAGCCCATCCCTGACCCCAATGTGATCTTTGGCCAGGCCACTGAGATGAGCCAGAATGACATCATCCGCCTCAACAGGCTCTATCAGTGCTGTGAGTCTACTCATATATACTCATATGTACTCATGTGTACTCATGTGTACTCATATATACTCATGTGTACTCATATATACTCATGTGTACTCATATATACTCATGTGTACTCATATACTCATGTGTACTCACTCATGTGTACTCATATATACTCATGTGTACTCATATATACTCATGTGTACTCATGTGTACTCATATATACTCATGTGTACTCATATATACTCATGTGTACTCATATACTCATGTGTACTCATATATACTCATATATACTCATGTGTACTCATATATACTCATGTGTACTCATATATACTCATGTGTACTCATATATACTCATGTGTACTTATATATACTCATGTGTACTCATATATACTCATGTGTACTCATATATACTCATGTGTACTCATATATACTCATGTGTACTCATATATACTCATGTGTACTCATATGTACTCATGTGTACTCATATATACTCATGTGTACTCATGTGTACTCATATATACTCATGTGTACTCATGTGTACTCATATATACTCATATAAACTCATGTGTACTCATATATACTCATATATACTCATGTGTACTCATATATACTCATATGTACTCATGTGTACTGGCCAAGTACAACCTGAGCCATACAGGCACAGGTTGTACCACAGACATCTGCTAACAGCTTTTCTCAATATTCTTCCACAGAGTCAGCAGGGACCTGATGGACCACATCACAACACAGAACTTTGGTGAATCAAAGTGGCAATAAATGTCAACATAACAATACATAAACCAGTATGTAGGCACAGTTCTGGTCATTAAAAATGTCCAACAGAACAACTCTTGATTTCAATATTCTAAAAAAAATGTCTATTTGTATACATTTCTGTAATAGATCAAAGTGACAAGGCACTAGCAAGTAGATACAATATGAACAAATGTTCAAGTATATTGTCTGTAAATAAAACAATTAGAAATGAGAGCAAAAAGAAATGATTAAAATAAAATGGACACGTCTAATGCAATCTTTCCAACAAGGCTCTAAAGTGAAGCTTCAGCACTTCTGTGGCTACTGACTTTTGTAGCTCATATCAGCTATTAAATAATCAGCACTTCAGGCTTTATTTTCTTCTTAGTCACAAAGCATGTAAGACAAATAAATCAGTCTCCCTGAACCCGGGAAGTTGTGTATGACACTGAGGACAGAACACTGATTGACAGATGACAGAACACAAATTTCAGATGTTCTTCAGCGGCTCTGTGGAACATGTTTGCTCTTCTCATCATGCTGTCGCTGTATCTCCACTGCCCCCTCATTGCCATCTGCACCAGGGAACCTCAGAGTTGGAAGTCCAGCTGAGTTTAAAGTTTTAAAAATGGTACCCCACGTGGTCTGTGGTCAGGCTGTCCTCTGTTGTCCAGTTTAGCTCCCAATTTGGAGCAGAGTTGGTCAGAGGGGCAGGACACCCTCACACCGGCAGTCTCAGAACACACTGAGTAGCCAATATTGTACAAGTGGAGGAACATAGTACATCAGCTGCACGTCTTAATACAGTTTAATAATGACCCTAATGACCCTAACCTTACTCAATTTCCTAACCATAACCTTCCCCATAACCCTGTCCTAAACCTAACCCGATTCTAGCTCAGTTTGACTATGCTGAAAAACAAGCATTTATAGGTACCACAGGCCTATGTTGTCCAAGACAATACGGCTGTTTCTTTTTTTATAATATTTATTTATTATAAACTTAGTTAACTAATCATTAAACTCACATTAGTCATCATTTGTTATAATAGAAAATGGTAAAATGGGTGCAAGACTTGCACTGCTGCTGGTGTGAGAGTGCAGTGACTTCAGTCTGCAGTTTTAGAATATCGAGAGCCGGTTCTCCACTGTGTCTGGATCACGGTGAGCTCACAGTCCCTCAGAGGCTGTAAATAGAGTGGCCAGGAGCAGGAGGAGACTGGTCAGAGCCTGGAGGAGTGCCTCAAGGAGAGCCTGGAGCAGATGGGAGTCATAGTTTGGTCACAGCTTGGTCAGAGAGCGCTAGTCGGTCCTCCACTGTGTCTGCAGTCAGGTTGAGGTCACAGTCCCTGAGAGCTTGAATCAGGACTTCCGCAGTGGCCTGCTCTCCTCTGCTCTTCCTCCACTGCTGCAGCAGCTCCCGGGCAGTCTCCTCCAGGTCGGTGGGGTGCTTCCTGGAGATAGAGTCCAGTTTAACCTCGCTCATACCCAGCTTACGGCCCAACTTACGCCACCAACGCCCCAAGTGTTCAGACAGCACCTCAGCTGCATCGTCCAGCTTGTCTGCAAACAATTAAGAATGACGACAAATAGTAACATTGGTGACACTTTATACCAACTGCACATTGATGAGACCCAAGATACAGGCTTATTCATAATGAACAAATCAGCAAATGAAACTGGCTTTTCAGAGCTTATAACCATGTTACAGTTGTTTCCCCTCTGCATTTACTCACCAGAAGTTGTATTTGGAGTGATTGTGCAAGTCTGAGCAATTGTGAAATTGCTTATTTTCAAAATGCCACTGTGCCAATCGAACCGTTTTCACCACCACTGCTGCTCTCTGCTGTGATGACGTTTACGGAGACGTAAAGTGGTACATGTGGTTACAGGTCAGTAACAGGTTCTCTTGTGAATGTAGTGCCTTTTTAAAATTGTGCAGGCTACACACAGTCTTTGTAATTAGTTATTATAAAGTGTTACAAAAGACTCAATTCCCTTTACATAAAATATAAAAACAGAGGAAATGCAAATAGCCAATTAAAACATATCATTTAAGAACTTTCATTCAGACACTCATGGATAAATGTTTAAGAGGATGTTCTCTACAGCCCAGGAGATCCAAGCTCAGTTTGGTTTACAGAGGAAGGGATTATTTTCAATACTAAACTTCATCTTATAAATATGACATTTAGTCTACCTAATACAGAAATAGATTGACGATAAATTCGAATTCATTATGGCTAAATAAATTATAATATTTTGCTAACTGGGGGCTATTTTAAAGAGTTCTTTTTTTTTTTTTTTTTTTTTTTGGTGTTGAGCAGGAAATGCCCGGGGATTCTCAGCTGAGTCAGTGTGACCTCATCAGAGCTGACAGTAAAGTCAGGATGTGTGTGTGTGTGTAGTGGAGTGTGTGAAGTAGAATGGAGTAACAGGCGCGTGCGTGACGGGTCTACAGACGGACCTGTGTGCACGAGCGCGTCCCCGCTGAAGTGCTGCAGTTTCTCGCACAGGTCCAGGCGCTTGACCTCGGTGAGCAGGTCGCACAGGTAGCCCGTGTTGTCGGGTCCGAGCTTGCCTCTCTCCGTGAGGATCTGGAACAGTTGGGTCCCCGTGGTGCACTTCTCCCGGTCCCGTTTACCGATGACGTCTCCGCATAGGTACTTCAAAGACTCCAGGTCCTTGTCGGAGAGTCCACTGGAGATGTCCAGTAAGAGGGCCTTAAAGGCCAAAGAGCTCATGTCTGCGGCGATACCAGCTCCGATACCAGCTCCGATATCAGCTCCGTGTGTGTGAATGCGAAGCGATCTGAAACAAGTGTCAAACCGACAACCAGGAAACGCTCTTTTCCTTTCACTTCCGCGTTGACTGCTCACGTCAGCTCGTGACGGGACACTTGTTACTTTTTCTTAAAGCTACAGTTACCTATAGAACTTTTTAGCACTAAAAGCACGTTTTAAAATATTCATTTTCGTTTTATTGCACTGAAAACGTTGCATCCTTACTATTTGCAGACTTGCATCTCCACAAACCTGACTCTCCGCCTGCTTGATTCTATGCAAATGTTGTTGCTTTGACCCCCACACCACAGCATATTACTGACAAATGTCCATGGAGAATATTCTCAAGTATGGTTTTCACTTTCTATTTCCATGGAGCCCACTGTAGGTGTGCTGTTCCACTGACACCAGGCCTACAGCTGCCTCTGATACAGTGGGATACACTTTTACGTGAGTACAACCTTTCCGTACTCGTTCCACCATCTATATCCACATGAGATGCAGAGTGGATTAAAGACGGGGTCATACTCCCACAGACAACAGTTCAGTTCCTTTGGCACCATGTTTTTGTCTGGTGCAGAAAACTGTACAGCCACATGCTTTCACAGTTGTGTGGATGTTGTAGGTTTCCTTTGGGGGGCGCTCTGGAGTATGAGCTCTGGGCCTATTGCTCACTGTCTGACAGTGGCCTGTGTCACTGGCTCTGTTCAGATTAAGGGCCTGATTACATTTACTTGCACTTTTCACAGTAGGCTGCATTTCTAGCAGTTTTACTCTTGAACAACAGTTACAGTTGGTTCCTCTTCCCACTGTGAGGGAGTCTAAAGTGACATAAACTTTATGTGACAATATGGAATGATTCGAACATCTGTGTTTCTTGCAGCTCCTTCACATATGATTTAGTTTGTCTCATGTTTTAGTCCAGTGTTTTGTCCTTCACATTACACTGACCAGATGTTATGTCCCAACAGTTACTCTTTGAATCCCAAATATTTTTTTGCTCTTACTTGAGGAATTTCTTGGACCACTGTGGTGTACTTGTACTTCAGTAATATTTTGAGGTAACTTTTTCTATTGTGAATGTGATGTGAGTCCAGTGTAACAGCTCTAACAGTTTACATAATACAACAGCAGCTGTATGAGAGGGCCCCTGTGTGTATAGAAATAAACCAGAGACATACTCCCCACTCACATATACTGCCCCTGCTCATGACTGACAGCTCCTCACATTTAGAGACACATTTTATGACACATTCTTCTCAAATGAAAAGACAGCAACCGTTTAATTGAAATAATGCATTATTATAAAAGGCTCTGGGTACATTCTCTCAGGCTTTACAAGCAGGGACAATTTATAGTTCAATATATGTACAGCAGATGGGAGGATAATCACACATCCAGTGACTTCCACAAAAGATCTGAGTAGGAAAACACAATAATATTAATATTAATAATAATAATAATAATTCAGTCTTTTTGCTTGAGAGGTTTCATAAAGGTACAAGTACGTTCATAAGGCAACAGAAGAGAAAGTGGTGAGTAAGTATAGGCCTATTTTGGCACAAACTGTAACATGTATTGCACAGGGATTGTAATAAATACATTCAAAATCCTGTTCAGAAAACGCCAGAACACAACAGCAGATACTGATGATTGAAATGTACATATATGTCTCATTGTTTTATTATTGCCTTGTACACAGAGGTGGGTAGTACACTGTTTCATTTAGTTACTTTTTAAAGAAACTGTACTTTTCTAGACACATACTTTACTCCTACTTGGGTATAGTTTTTTTTGAAGTAACAGTACTCTTGAGTGAAAGTTGTGGTTCCTCTTCACACTGTGAGTGAGTCTACAAGTGACAATATGGAATGATCTGAACATCTGTATTTCTTGCAGCTTCGTCAGATATGATATCATTTGTTACTCCTTAGGTTACTCTTACTTCAATAGCACTTTTCCCAAATACCGTATTTTCCGGGCTATAAGGCTTGCTCTTAAGCCTCTAAGGCTACGTTCAGACTGCACTCAATTCAGATTTTTTGCGAAATCCGATGTTTTTGCGAGGTCGTTTACATTTCCAATTAAATGTGACTTGTATGTGATCTCTAGTGTGAACATTAAACGGCCCAAAAGTGTCCCACATGTGCACTGGAGACACGACGACGTCAACCACAGCGAGCGTGCTCTGTGTTTATGGAAGTTGTCCAAACATGGACGCAGCATCGAGCACCTGGAGATTTTAAAGTTCCTCTTGTACCAGAGCCAGAACATGAACAACTTACTTGTTTTAAGGAGGAGATTGAGAAGGAGAAGGACGAGGTTTTTGGCCGTGGTGTTTTGTGGGACAGTCCGTTGAAAGGAACGTGTGGATGTGGAGACGGAGCCAAGAGTGGTGAGTGGTGATGTGCTTCACTTCAGTGACACAGAGTTCATTAACAATTTTCGCCTACTTCAGCGCAGAATAGTGACATTTGTGGCTTGTTGATAACGTGTAGGTGGATGAATGCACTTTGGACGTTCAAACTGAAGTCACATGTTAAAAGATCAGATATGTATCGATTTTAGGAGCACATATCAAAGTGGTCTGGGTCATATTTGAAAAAATCTGATCTGTATCGTTCAGACTGTCATTATAAGGTCACATACAGTTCACATAGGGGCCAAAAAATCAGATTTGGGTCAGTTCAGGCTGCAGTGTGAACGTAGCCTAACCCCATCAAAAAACGACGACACGCCCCACAATCCAGAGCGCCCTATACGCGAATCCACTCGGGTGTCCCAGCATGACTTCAGTAAACTACAAAGCCGCACCACCCACAGAACACACAAACACACACGGAGCAGACAGCGACTGCACAACGAAAAACACCCACAGACACACTCATCACTCCACGCCGACGAGGAGGAACGAACCGAAAAAGTGAGCGCAACATGCCACTTCTAGACACAACTGAACAACTGAGTCATCGCGAACACGCCGACAATCCAGCGGTCCCAGACAGCACCCTCCCTACACGCCACAACTGAACAGAGTCACCGTGAACGCCACAAACAAACAAAACCACTCACCCATCACACTGTTGGGTTTCCTTTAAAGTCTGGTGCGGTTTATTTGTGAAAAAGTTCAAAAATAGACAGTGCGCCTTATAATCCAGAGCGCCTAATAGCCCGGAAAATACAACACTTTTTTTCCTCTTACCTGATTTCTTGGACCACTTCTTTGTACTTCTACTTGAGTAATACTATGTCAAAGTAACATTACACATACTTGAATATAGTTTTTTGGCTACTCTACCCAACTCTACTTGTAAATGTAGGAATGTTTCAAATAAGGCTTTTAAGTAACGGGACAAACAAACCTATGATGTAGAATGTGTTTAAAGCTGAAATTATAGTTATTGTATATTTCAACGCAAAGCTGTATTACCCCCCTTCAGCCTCTGTACAGTACCTTAGAAACTGTGTGTGTTATTGTCCCAAATATGACTAAAGTGGACACAAATTAGAATTTTCTGAAAAATCAAACCTCATTTACTCACATGGCTAGCCCTTATCATTCTTCCTTTATTGAATAGAAATAATCTGTTTGGTCCCTCTAATGTCAAGGGTTTAAATAATAAAGCTTTTCTAAACTGCTTCAGACTGTTACTGGATACAAACATTTCATTAAAACATAAGTTGACAAGTGGCTATGACAGGTTGGACTACTCATTTGACCAAAAAACACACTTAAGATCAATATATTTTAGATTTAAACCAAAATAAAATGGCCTTTAACCAGTTTGAGATATTTTAGGTTTCAAATTACTAGTTGGAAATCAGGGCACTGCTCTAGGGAATTCCATGTTGTACACTGGGTCAAAATTCTTACACAGAAATTATTATTTGGCAACTTAAAATAGAAGAAAACACATTTATTTTGTTGAAATTCTGTTTAAAAATGTGTTTCCAGTGTTTAAATTGTGCATCAGTTTGGACAGAATCCCCCAGTGTGATCATCAGTATGGAACTCAACTTTTTTTTTTTTTCAACTTTTCTTCACAATCTGCTTCTTGACAACTGTAAGCTATACTTTATTCTTACGACAGGATTTATCACACCAACTTAAATCAAAATGAGAGAATCATAAAAACCTGTCATAGGCACTTAATCGTGGAAGTGCTTCAAAAACAACTAGTTTTGTCCTAGAAAGTATTTCCTAAAATAGTGTGCTTTTACATAAATAAGACTCCATGAACTTCAAAGTTCTGTTAAAATTTGGGAACCAGGAAAGAACACTGCAAAAATATAAGATGTATTAAAATGACTGGAATACTTCTCCTTATTACAGTATCACAAGTTACAATTACAGTTGCAATGAATTATTATTTGCCACTGAGGTAAGAAATTCTGTTACACTTATGAACAGTTAAAGGTCCTGTACCTGATTTTTTTCCCCTGTGTATTTGAACAAAATATGTCCTACTCTAGTACGGATATATTGTATGTGCACTTTTGAGGTCAACATAAGTCTGCTGTGATCTGTTTGCATCTAGTTATACAGCATTTTATTGTCCGCGAATCAGGAAGTGTTAGCTTTACTTAGAGGTGGGCGATATCTCGATATTTTAAATATATCGAGATATTTTTTAAACTCAATATGGATTCTGACATATCGTATATATCGATATAATGCTTATATTCAATTCTGATTTGCTTGTTTGCCTGCTCTTTGCTCCCCTCCGCGCGCCCTTGCCTCCTGGATTTTTCTCTCCATTCACTCGTCACTACTGCTGTGAATGCGAATGTTGGTGCCAGTGAAAAGTATCTAGCACCACGAACCTTTTTCACCATTTACAGACTCAACATCAGCAGCACATCCTCTGTCACAGAGAGAACACTCATATTCCACTGAGTCATGTCCTTTAGTCCGACAGAAGCTGAACCACATCACACCACCTGGAGCGCGCTGTTTATGCAAATGAGCCATGTGGTTTTAAGTTTAGTTTCTGTAAAATGTAAACACATGTGGCAAAACTGAATTAAACGCATGATAATGTCAAACGGGCTGATGTGGCTGTTGTTAATTTTAGTAATGTAAAGTTTATTTATGCAGAAGATTTTAATGAAGAATCTGTTGCAGTGTCACTTGTACAATAGTGTTTGGAAAGGTTGGGTTTGATCTGCAGTGGATTGTGGGAAACCTCAGAGCTCCTCACACTGGATCTGTTAAAATAAGGAAACGCCCAGTCTTCCTATGCAGAAGGAGCTCATGGTTCTGGTTATGGTCTGAATAACAGAGTTAATGCAAAGATGAGTTTGAGCTGAGTTGAGTTGTTTTATTTATGAATGAAAAGAAGGAAATATGCATTATTTCTTTTATTTTAAATTATTATTTATGCAATTAGGGATTTCTTGTAATCTTAAATGTGGCAGAAGCACTTTGTTCCTACATGAACTACTGACCTCTTGCACTTCAATAAAAAAAAGACCTTGTGGAATTTGGCAGATTTGTTTTTCCAGTTTTCAGTTATAGGGGGTTATTTTTTCCTGTACAGATATTGAGATATATATATATATATATATATCGTATATCGAGATATAGCAAAATATATCGAGATATATTTTTTGATCCATATCGCCCAGCCCTAGCTTTACTGCCTCTGAGAGTTATAAACATTATAAACTCAATGAAAAATTAGGATATAAAATGAACTAGCTCTGTTTTTCATATTTTAACACAAATCAGGTACCGCACTTTTTAAATCAAACCTTCATATAATTATTCTGAATTCAAGCCATTTTAAGCAAGGAATTATAATTTTGCAGTGTAAATGTTTTGGACTAAAATATAGTACCGGTACTTTCTTTTTAACGTTGTGTTACATAAGCAAACAAGTCTTTATCCATGTGTTGCGTTTGAGAAGATGGCATGACACTTGTCTTTTTGTATCGTTCAAAAATAAAGAGCCCTGTGGGAGTAGTGTGATACTCAACAGCACCACCAACAGGATGTCCTCCCGCAGTGAGTGGACGGAACGGTAGATTCCTCTGTTGTGGGTGATGTATTCAATGCCCCTTGTAAACTGTTAGTAAAAAAGCTGCTTCAAGGTTGGCACTGAAAAAAATGGCTTCCTCCATTCACAAACATTCAATAAAGAATTGTTTGCAACTTTTTAAACTGACACGTTGTCATATTGCAGTACATCATACGCAGTGTTTCTCCAAGGTTTAGACTGAGACTATGGGGCACAGGCCATTTTATGTCATTCTTATGTTGTTACCGCCTCAAAAACAGACCTGCAGCTGTGTTTTGATTCATTCACACATATTCTCTTTACAATCCTTCATTATTAGTCTGTGTCCATCTCCAAATCTCATATCGCTCTGTTCCACACAGCTTAAATATGCAGGGTTTGTGTGAATGAAACAAAACGCAACTCCACATTTGTTTGTGATGATGAAACAACATATAATAAAAATGAGAAAATAGTTTAATATGTGCCATTTAAGTATCTTATCATTGAAATCACCTTTTTTTTTTTAGAATCTGTGGAAGGGGACGAGGGTGAGGAGCCTCCATAGTCTCCTCTATTAATGAAAAACGCTGTCATATGGATTAAACTATTTCAAAATTCAATGAAGCTGGATATATAAAAAGTCTGGTAGCGTTGGGGCGTTGTACACGTGTGGCCTGGGTGGTTCTAGCAGTGGGAGTGGGAGGCGAGGCGTGAGCGGGGCTGCGGCGGGCTCTCGGGGCAGCAGGAAGGCGACGTGCAGCCGTTGTCCTGGTGGTTCTGGTGGTTCTCCCTCAGGGCCAGTCTGCGCCCCTGCTCCTCCTTCATGAACAGCTCCACCATCAGGATCTTCTCCTTGTGGATCTGCAGGCTGATGTCCTTCGGGATGTCCGGGATCAACCAATCCACGAAATCGCTCATCAGCATCACCACATTCTGCACAAGAGCACAAAAACAGCTTACTCCAGGTTAGCTCTGTATGTATGAGCGGACAGAGCTAAGCCGCTAGCTGCTGCATTCCTATTATAGACTGTATAAAAACTAATGGAGTGTTCTGTCACTTAGCATTTGGCTCCAGTCAAATGAAGCTCATCAAGTCTAGCAGTTACAGGGGCAAATTTGGAGCTGCCGTCCATATTTGAAACCTCTGTCAATCAAACTTGTTGCTTACTCTAGCCGGAGCAACTTGAATTTGTCTGTTCTAGAATTCTTTGAGTTGTTGGCTTGTCAGGATTATTGTGGTTAAGGCTGCAGTCCTTGTGCGTCCTTCTACTGCTCACCTGAAACACGATGACGAAGGCCAGGCGAGCGGCCAGAATGGCCCAGAACTCTTTGGACAGCTCATACTTGTTGTTGGACCAGTGCGGCTCTCTGTAGTCCTTATATCTGTGAATGACAAACATGTTGAATGTTCTGGGACAGTGAAGGCGGCAGTACCTGATCTCCAGAAGTGCTCACTCACCTGCAGATCTCCACGCGGTAGCCCAGGTTGTTGGGCTGCAGAGGCGCGGTGCCCTGCTGGAAGTCGCTGACGTTGAAGTAGGACAGAGTGTGGTTGACAAAGCCAGTCATGGAACCATCCTCACTGTACGAGTACTGGTAGACCAGGCGAGGAATGAAGTCCGACGTGAACGAGATCACAAAGGCCTGAGGGAAATATGCACTTTTGTTTTGATTATTCTGTTATTATCTGTCACAGAGTACAGCAAGGAGTTAACATCAACACTCCAACAAATGTTCTGCCACATGGCACAGCGCCATGATTCTGGTCACAGGAGAAGAACTATGTCACATAAGGCTGTCCACATGAGTAAACGCCCTCTGCACTAAACTACCTGAGCTTTTCTACCACTGCAGTGTAAACCCAGAACTCAGACTGCTTCTGCTGGTCTCACACCTGGATGCAGCCAAAACCTCCAGTCTCAGTCCAGATGACACCTTTGACATTTTGTTCCTGTTCATTAGTGAACATAACTGTTTTATGCTCCAGGTTGAAATGTGAAAAAAGCTTTGTGAAAACAGGAGTAAATTCCTCATACATTTTTCCCATAAACTTTCTTCAAAAAATAACAAGTTTAACAGCTCAGGACTAATCAGCTCTGTGGTGACTAATAACCACAGTAAGTTTATTTAAAAAACTGAAACTGAAACTTTATAAACCGCTAAGTAGTTAAAATATTTGACATGTGTGTTTTGGACATGACACAACTGCATAATGGATAGTTAACGGTAGCTTCAGTTGTAATATGTTAAGATTTGATATAGTGGGTAGAATCTGTCACTTCTATGATTTATCATTTTTTCATAATGTCATTTATCTGTTGCAGCTCAGGCTTTGCTTGCTAATGCTACAATATACAATATATGCTACAGTATATTTAAACATGGTTTACTGCAGAGGTCTCCAGCCTTTTTCCTCTGATGAACTCCTTTACAAAACAAAAATGCCAGAGAGCTGCTCATTTTAACGGTGGCAAGAAATTGAGATGATTATAAGAAAGAGGGGAAGCCTGTGTGTACAGTCAGAGACCTATAAAACATAAACCACTGTCCATTTATTAGTGCACAATGCTGAGACTCAAAATGATAAACTTACAATAGTAATAGACATGTCATTAACCACATGTTTGTTATTCAGCACAATGATATAATTCTGGTATCCCTCTGTGAGCTACATGGAAGGGGCTGGAGAGCTGCTGGTAGCTCCGGAGCTAAAGGTTGGACACCCCTGGTTCATGGTGATTCCTGTGTTATTGTTATTGTGTCAGTGGTATAAAGTAGTTTCTGTATTATTGTTTATCGTTACCTTTCACTGGAGCAAAATCTCGTGCTAAATGTGTCATAATGACAGGCCTTTATGTATATATATTTATAACACCTGCTTTGATCATCTTTCCACAGAACACTGTATGAAGCGAACGATCACATGACCTCTGACCTTTTCTATCAGACTGGAGCTGTAGTTTGATTGGACAGTCCCGGTGTTCTGTTGATGTGAGCTACCCATCGATTTGAGCTCCCTACCGCTACTGCGCATGACCCCCAAGCTCTGTTAAAGTTTAAATGCTGTCATTTTGAGCTCCCGAGGCAGAAGTGGAGTAACAAGTCACATTTAAAAGTGTTTTGGTTTTATTGTCTGTTTTGACCAGTTAAACTTCGACATGTGCGTGTTAGATTTACAGCAGAATACCTACGTTAGATGACTGAACATCTTGGAGAATTTAATATTTGATTTTATCATTATGATTACATCATATTTTATTCACATGTGTAAAAAAATGTTGTAACTTTGTTTAGAAAGGCTCTGTATAAATAAAATATTACTATTATAATTTAATTCACACTGAAGCATATGATATTTGCATTAAATATGATATATTTAACAATATTTAATATAAAGATTTCAGTGTTTTCAGTCATTTCTTTCTCCTCTGTGGTGGAGTTTTATTTGATATTCATATCTGGGCCTGTGGAAATGAGCCCCTCTACCCAAATTCACCTAAATGAGTGAATAATGTTGATTGTACAGTGGGACATTACTGGATGGATAAATTGTCCTGTAGATATGTGCTTCCTTTAGTCAGAGCCTATTTGAGCAGAATACGACTGTCCAAATGAACTACGCAAATTCATATAAATTAAGTGAAATTGTACATAACTACGGTATAAAGGGTGATCACTGTGTGCAAAGAGCATCAAATCTGCGTCTCTAATCCAAAGAGATATGTGTCAAACTGGGGAGCTCAGAGTTAGCGTTTGGCTTTAATAGATATATACAACTATAATCGGAAAAAGGTAAAATGGCTTATTTCGACGGGACAGCAGGAATCGATAGACGTCACTGTTGATTTAGGCTGCTAGGAACTCATTTCGAAGGGGCAGCCCATTTCCACAGGACACCGGCCTTGATGGTCACACTTACATTCACGATGACTGCCACTTTGCTCAGGCCTCTCAGGAGGTTGTACCAGATCCCTGCAGAACACAGCAGCCATGAGCACTCTCCTCGTGTAACAAACTCCCACTGCCACTAGATGGCACTGCTCTGTTACAGTACACTCAGATGTACTGTGGACACTTCTGCAGCCCCACAAACACAAACGCCACTGTGTGTTACAGAATGATTCACAGAGACCAGTCTATTTAAACAAGCAAGCAACGCCCTCATTAGCAATTATAATCTTACAGAAGCACCAATGAACCTTTAATAACACATCATTGTTCGTTAATAACACAGCTAGAGCCGTACTAATTATTATTTAAGGAGTCGATTAGTCAGACATTATTCGTTGAGTCAAACAATAATTTCTTTAGTACACTGAGATATTTAAAATAGATTTTAATGGCCTCATACTATTTTCTGATGTATGTATTAATGCTGTTTCCTCATCCCAACCAGACCTTGAATTCTGTTTTGTTTCATTTACACATGTTTAACACACAGTCCCTGTGTATTTAGATTGAGACTGAGTTTTTTAAATTGAAAACTCTGAGAATTGAAAACTCTGAGAGAAGAACCTGAACTTTGTGATTTAATTTAATGTAGTGCTCCATTGTGTTTTTTAAAATCCATGCGTCTACACTAGATTTGGATGATTTAAGCCTTGAAATTGCCTATCTCTACTGAACTAAACATAAAAAGGTAACTGTTAAGTTGAAAGCAACCACTACATGACATCACAAGGTGGAAGAAGAAAGACTAATAATAATATAATGGGCTACTCAAACATGTGTGACTGAAACAAAACAAACTCAGGTCTGATTTTGAGGAGGTAACAACACTGTAACATGGCTTAAAGCTCACAAGAGTACATTCTGTGTAATATTTGTCTTTAAATATCAAGGCTGAACTAAGGTTTTCAATCTGTATTGTATCATTATTTGGACAGTTATTTTAATGTGTATAAGCAGCACAGGGAAGGCTCGGAAATACACACCGATATCTTTGGCTTTGGCCGCTATGGGCCTGCGCAGTTCTGTCACAAATTTCTTGGCGTCCAGTCGAATTTCAATGATGTTATTCAGCAGAGCGAAGAGAGGAGCCAGGGGGAAGGAGGCCACGAACAGAGTCACCATTCCAAACTGGATAACTGCACACATGCACAGTGGAAAAGTGGGTTTAAACAAAGTAAAGTGTACTTTTTATAATAAATATAATCTACAAGATTTGAAAATACATTTTGCTCACTGTAAATGGCAGTACTGGTTTAAAGCAGGCCAATGTGACACTGATGTTTCAGAGCTTTTTAACAATGGTTTAGTTGTTTGGCTTCTCATTTATTCTCTCCAAGTTGTATTTGGAGTGATTTCTGCATGTGTGAGCAATCTTTAATGTTCTTCAAATGTGCAGATTATAACATAATGGTCCACAGGTGTCATAGATTATAAGTATAGAGCACTGTGGTCTTTCACTTTAAGAAGCAGCAAAAACATCAATACAACATTTCTGAACATTTGTGTCTGACTGGTCCTGGAACCTCCTTTTGTCAAAGTAGCACAAGCACAGTAGTAGTGGGCGGGGATAGGGGAGAGGTGAAAAGGATTACTCAGAGATTCATGAATCACTCATGTGGAGGGAACCATTTTATTTGCCTGGGATCCAGAATACACACTCCAGTACTTTACAAAGATGTGTGTCTGGTCACGGCTGACTGAGTTCAGACGACTGTAACTGACAGGCAAATTAGACAATCAGGAATACGCATGATTTGTCTGTATCAAAACAAATAAGACTGTTTATGTAGATAAAGAATGAAAAAAAAATCCCAATGAATGCTGAAACCCAAATGAAAAACATGGTGCATCTGTCACACTTTATGATGTCAAACATCAATTTTACAAAATTTCAAAAGTAAGTAACCTCCATAATGTGAGCACTACATCTAGTTTTTGTTCGTTATTGCTGCAAAGCATCATTCTCTTTTGTATCATTTTAAAATGTAATTATGAGACCAACAGTGGTCATGTGAGCAGTATTAAACAGTATGGTGTTTAAACATGACAATATACAGGATATCCTTTAGATCACATGGGTTACAGTCATGTTTGTTCTGGCTTGTGGTGTGGCGGAGGGCGTGGGACCAGTCAGATCCATCTGTACACAAAATACAGAGGTATCAGTGTGGACTTGCCAGGCTTCCATTGCGTAGCTAAAAGCTCCAACATAATCTGACTCCTTTAACATGTGCTCACATGGTACCAGCTGAAAATGGCTCTGTGCTGTTTGGCGTAAGTGCCTAAACTGGAGTGTGAGATGATCAATCGTGCTTTAACCCTCAGGCACAGGGCAATTCCCCTTGAAAGAGACGGATGAGGGCCATGCTCAGGTTTAGACCTCCTTTAAACACAGAATTTAATGAAAGACTTGATAAAGCGCTAGTTGTGAGGAGATAGGAAACTGATCCAGAATTTCTACAGAGAAAGAAAATCTATCTACAGTGTGCAACCACACACTGAACCTCCAGAGAAACGTACAGGGACATTGGAGCTGTGTGTGTATATTCAATCACATTTGTGGAGCTGAAGCCGGAGCTGGCATGAGGACGTATGTGGGAGGCAAAGACAGAATAATTAGCTAAAAGCCAATCAGCTAAAATGGATTAAGAAGAGTGATTTTTTTGCAGACTCAAACCTTGCACTGTTGCACAGCTAGCCTACTGTACATTTGGAGGTTCTGTAAGGAAAAGTGCTGAGCTCATGTAAGAGTAAAGTTACTTCAAAATAATATTACTCAAGTACAAGCACAAAGTAAAGGTCCAAGATATGACTCAAGTAAGAGTAAAAAGTATATGGGAAAACTACTACTCAAGAAAGAGTAACTTAAAGAGTAACTTCCGGGACATAGCATCTGATTTATAATTTGAAGTGAATGTGATTTAAAAGACAAAACATTAAATAATGCACAAAATGTGGTATTTTCAAAGGACAGACACAAAAATTAGATAAACTAAATCATATCTGAAGGAGCTACAAGAAACAAATGTTCAAATGATTTCATATTGTCACATAAAGCTTTGTCACTTGTACACAGTTTGAAGAGTAACCAAAACCTTTACTCAAGAGTACTTATACTTCAATAAAAATATGACTTCAGTACAAGTAAAAGTATGCTAGTAGAAAAGTACAATTTCTTTGAAAAGTTACTCAAGTAAATGTAAGCGACTAAATCTAAGTGACTACTACCCACGTTTGTTGAGCAGAAATCATGGTTTTGAAAAGTGACATTTGAATGAAGGATTAGTGAAAAGTGGAGAAGAAAAGATGTAAGTTTAGACAAACTGCAGAGAGAGTGTGAGGCCTGATACTGGATGTTCTTGGGAGAAAGTATTTCCCAGAACGTGTCCCATCAGAGGCCATTCCAGTGTGAGAGTGCAGCCTTTGATAATGGAACACTGGACTCCTGAGAGCCAACAGGCAGCACAGAGCTGCAGACAGACTTTTTTTTAAATTAAGGTTTATGGTGTTGAAGTTTGATTTTTGGTTTAGTTTGTACTTGCAGAAGTGTAACTTTTATCCGAGACTCAGACAGAATAAAAGGCACAGTTCCTTTGTTGAAAAATGTGGGGGTGATGGTTTGATCAAATACAAAACTCCAATATGAAAACATACACATTTCACACAGATTTTGTGGCCTTATTAAAGCCTGATCCTGTCAGATCTAAGAAGCTTGTTTAGTACTTGGATGGGAGACCACTGGGAATTCCGGGAGCCACAGGGGGGCGCCACTGATGAAAACTGTCATTGTGTCCTTAGGGCAAGACGCTTCACCCATATTGCTTGGTATGACAGTGGTGTGTGTGTGTGTGATTGTGGTGGTCGGAGGGACCGATGGTGCAGATTGGCAGCCTCGCTTCCGTCAGTCTGCCCCAGGGCAGTTGTGGCTACAGTAATAGTTTTCCACCGAGTGTGGAGTGAATGAATAATGATCTGTAAAGCACTTTAGGCATCTTGAAAGGCGTTATATAAATGCAATGATTGATTAATTCATTAATGGAAAAGTGCATTTGGTAGGTTAGCTCATTTCACTAAAATATTGTTAACACTGATTGTGTTGTGATAGTGCTGTGAAGGGAGAGTGACTTAGTGCAGAGAGCAAGGCACGGGGGAAGCAGAGCACCAAAAACAAAAGCAAAACATGTTAATATGTTTTGGTGAATATAGAAGTAAAGTACTCCTCTTTAAGTTTTGACTAAAAAGCTTTGGTGAAGTTTGTGGTGAGGAGAAAATTCAGTTGGTCGACTGGACAAAAGTTAGTTTGGTTGAAGATGTAACTTTCGTCCAGTTGACAAACAAATTTTCTCCTCACCATGGACTCTACCTGGACGACTGAGGGATTCTTCACACATTTGGTGAAGTTTGTAATTTGACTTCCTGGTTGGCCTGAGTAGCAGTGACATACAAAAAGGTCATTCATAACGGTGACATGTGGTGGCCGTGAAAAGGTTCTGGGTTTGGTTCCTGAGGCGTCTGCAGTAGCTCACTGCTCCTGACACATCGCCCCAGCAGCACTGCTTGAAGAATGGGTCATTGGGTCATGGCATCATTAAAGTGTAAACCTTACAGAAAATTACCAAAATTACAGAAGTTATGGTTCTGATTTGACTAATAAAAATAAATGACAACAAGTTTACTTAGTTAAATGACTGTTTAAAGTTTAGAAAAATTATTTCCTTGTGCACAAATGTCCCTGCATTTTGGATGGATTTTTTTCCTCAATTTTTTTTCTCAATTTTTTTATTTTTTTTTCTCCCACAAACTGCCACTTAACTGAAGTAAAACTATGGTAAATATTCCACTTAGGTATTAGCCACCAAACCAAACAAGAATGGTATGAGTAGACTCATAAACTCAGTAAGCTCAGGTCTTTCAATGTGTGCAGCAAGTTACTGGATTTTCTTACCAGTGTGTGGAGGCCAGCGGCCTGTACTTCACTGCGGTCTGCTGGGGGAGCAGCTCCAGTAAAAGGGACACTGGGCGGATTGACAAACAAATTTGTCACAGTGAGGAACAGGAGGACACTAGATAAACTGATCTCCATCATGAGCACTCCTGCTCACTCACTGCACCACATTATTATTTAGAATTTATTATTAGCATTTATATATTTTCTCTTCTCTATTTTCTGTTTTATTGTGATGTGTGAGCTCCTGTGTCCAAATCATTTCCTTTGTGGATCAATAAAGTTTGTCTTAAGTCTATGTCTGATACTGTTAATGTTCATGTCAAATGTGACATCATGGATTTGAGGAAACAGTAGCGTCTATGTGAAGGTGGATAGTGCCTCTTTAATGGAGAACTGTACATGTCCTGGAGTCCTGGCCCATGTTCTTTTAACCCATACTTGAGCTGCTCTCTAATGACTCTCGTGGTAACACAGGAGACCTCTGGAAGATGTGCAGGTTCATCAAGACAACAAACTGCTCTGACATTTACAGAGTCAGAGCCACGCAAGCAGCACGCACATCTGCTAAGTGCTAACGCGCTAGTCCCAGAGTGTTCCAAAGCATTAAGCACTGTCATTATTCCAGGCACATTCAGAGCCTCAAACAGCAGAGCAGCATGACTTCATGTGACTGAGGGCGTATAATGAGGAGATGATATCTGTCCTTGTACAGAGCGTACAGGAGTGCTACAGTGTGGAGAGGACCAATAGGAGCTTTGACTGTTATCACGACAGCTCAGTGACTGCTGCAGGGGCCATATTAAAATCTTCTCTGGGCAAACAACAACGAACTGAAATGCCAGTGCAAAGGAGATTTAGAGAATTATAATTTCACGCTTCTTAGATCTGACGATGTGGGGTGTAAAACAGAGACAGGTGTTATATTAATGGGACATTCCACTTTTTTATGGCTTGTTTCATTTTTTAAGTCATTTTAGATGAATTTTGTTATTTAAAATGTCCAGGGTATATACAAACACAAGCACAGGGAGGCTTCTTTAAACCTCGGCATAGCTGTTAATTCACTCTGGCTCTCTTCCATGGTATCTCTAATTGCTTACAAGGAAATTATAGCTTAGCCAAAACATTACAACGCCACATGAAGAGTAATGCAAAAGAATATGTGACTCACTCATCTCCATGTACTCGGGGCTCAGTCCTATAAATGGCCCCAGGATCATGTCCTTCTCGTGCCTCCTCAGCATCTTGTTGCGCTCCTCCTCATTGCCCCCGTCCAGCTCAGACTTTCGCTTTCGGAGCAGTTTCTTCAGTTTCCTACATAAACGAAAAACGAAACCACATTCATTTAACAGCTCAAGCTAAGCTCAGTGAATCCGTGTATCATTCGTTTTTCAATATAAAACCAAAAATAAGAAAACGAAAAAACAACAGTTTTCTTCGTTATTTGTCTCCAAAACCAAAATGAAAAAACGGATAATGATTCGTTTTTTCAGTTTTCGATTTTGTGTTTAAATGAAGAATGGAAAAAACGGATAACGGCTGTTTCCCGTTTATGTGACTTCCGTGACTGCGATGCCGAACTTTTGCACCGGGTACGGACTGAACCAGGACTGATCCAGGTCCGAGACCAGACCGGGACCAGAGCGGGACTGAGACCGAGACCACACCGGGACCAGAGCGGGATCAGAGCGGAACTGAGACCGAGACCAGCGGTCCGAGCGGTTCCGTGTCATCGTCTCCGCGCTGGTTCCGTGCGGGGAAAGTGAGAATGCACTGTGGACTACAGGTCTAGACGGGCTGCTCCAGTCCTCCGCGCTCAAGAACCGCGGCTGGTTCCGAGGTGGTGCAAAGCATCAAACTGACGCTTTCACACCAACGAAAACGAACCCAACTAAGAGCTTTTGGTTCAAATGGACCAGGTCCGGGACCAGACCGGGACCAGAGCGGGACCAGAGCGCTACTGAGACTGGGACCAGACCGGGACCAGAGCGGGCCTGAGACAGAGACAAGACCGAGACCAGATCGGAGGCTCAGAGCCCACAGCAGGGCCGGAGCTCGAAGCTGAGGCTTGGACCCCGCGGAGGCTCAGAGTCAAAGCTTGGAGTCCGCCCCAGTCCCGCTCTACTCCCGGTCTGGTCTCGGACCTGGATCAGTCCTGGTTCAGTCCGTACCCGGTGCAAAAGTTCGGCATCGCAGTCACGGAAGTCACATAAACGGGAAACAGCCGTTATCCGTTTTTTCCATTCTTCATTTAAACACAAAATCGAAAACTGAAAAAACGAATCATTATCCGTTTTTTCATTTTGGTTTTGGAGACAAATAACGAAGAAAACTGTTGTTTTTTCGTTTTCTTATTTTTGGTTTTATATTGAAAAACGAATGAACGAATGATACACGGATTTCAGTGGATAATGTTACACCAAATCAGTTCATTTAGTTTTCCAAACATCAGTCCACAGAGCTTAGTTAAAACTCAGCCAGAAATTCTTAGAAGACTGAAGACATGTGCTGCTGATCGATTAGTCGACTAAAAGGGGGTGTGGCAAAACTATTACTGGGTCCGGTCAAGCAGTAACGGAGGGAAACAGAGGCAGATTTTTACATTCAGATGTCTCTTATTCAGAAACTAGGGGGACTATTGAAATAAGTAAAGTATCAGAATGTAGGAAAGAGTTAACACTCCAATAGGGTAAAGTTAAACCTGTGATATTCTTTCAAGTTGTTGACAAAAAATTAAAAAACTCATGTCAGTAACGGAGGGAATGAAATATGCAGCACTTTTTGGGTAATAAATACAAACAGCGATAACTAGATAACTCTCACTTACATATCCTTAACAAACTGGTTTGAATATTTGCTTCATATAGTTTTCTACCATATGGTACAAGATTAGGTTGAAAAACCTCTGACTTTTTGAGTCATGAGATTTTTTATGAAGAAAGGTCATGGTAACGGAGGGAAAAGTAATGGAGGGAAAATTGTGCAAACAAGTAGAAGGTGCAGGATTTTGCATCATTTGTGGCTTTTTTCTTCTGAATACTTTAATATTACTTCAAAATGAAAGGAAACTATTTCTATAAAATATATCAGTCCTTCCAAGTAAATTTTTATCATTTTAAATAAATTTTTTTTGGAAACATCATGTACCTTCATCAACAGTTCAAAGATAGAATAACACAAGATATGATGAAATACATCCATTTATTTACATGATTTTCAGGTCTTTGAAATTTGGGAAATAATTTTTGTTCCATGTTTCATACATGGTCTGTTTAAAACGGATGTAACTTTAGAACCAAAAATGGTACAGAAAAAAGGTCAACAGTTTCATAAACTAGAGTACATATGTATCTGTTCAATACATTTTTATATCAGATGCATTAACTTGAATTTTTGGCCTTGCTGTTTACTTCTGCTTGACCAGGCACTACTATTACGTATTTGTGTGTATCTGACCCAAACTGCACTCACAAGACTACACCTGCAGGGGGAGTTCATGCAAAAACTACTATTTATGCAGAAAAAAAAGCAAAAAAAAACAACAACTAAGAAACAATGTATTTATAGAAAGATAGATTAAATCTGTGAATCATGAGTTTAATCTGACTATATATTTAAATACCAGAAAATACCAAATCGCCGGCTCCCTCACACACTTCTCTTTTCTGTAGTTGTCCTGTAGAAATTCTGATCATCTCAGTAAAATGATTAGTCGAGTGTATTGTTTTCTGACCCTTACGAGGCATTGTGGTGTATACTGACCAGTCTAGTCACCATTGCTGACTTCTACTTTTCAACATGTACTGTGGGAAATATTGAGTGCACTGCTTGAAAAGGTGTGACCTCTATTTAGTGTCCTATGTGTCTAGTGTCCTATGTGTCTAGTGTCCTATGTAGGGAATAGTGTGGACACCGGGACAAACTATCATGTTTGTGTTGGAAGAAAAGGGAGACTGGGGGATGTTTTGACACTTTGCAGCTGATGTCGTCAACATTCCTTGAGCTTTAAATAAACTCAGTCTGATCAAAAAGAACTGACTTTGTTGGAGTTACAACAGGTGAGATGGTATGTGCTCTTAAACAAGTCCCTCATATATATATATATATATATATATATATTTATTTTTTTTTGTCCACTATTTGCTAATGTGTGCACTGCGTCCCCATGGTAAATATTGAACACTTCACTTCAGGCAAATACAGAACACCCCCAGCATGCAAAGTATCAGTTCAGGAAATGCACCTGTATTTGCTGGAGACAGTCCAGGTCTGGTGGGTCTCAGAAAAAAGAGCTGTTTGTGTAACTCCTGCATTCTGCTCATGTACATTATTAAAGTCCTTTTGTGTAGTAAGAGCAGTGTGTGGCAGTCGACAGGCGTGGTCCAGGTGTGGTGTGTGTGTGTGGATTGTTCTATGTTGCCTAACACGTTTGCCGAACACACACACTGCACAGGCTCAGTGTGTCATGGGAGAGCACACGTGTGTCACTCACGGTATGCCGATCTCAAACAGGTTGTTCTGGATGAGCTGCTTCCCCAGCATGGTGATACACAGCTGGATACACAGCTCCATGAGGCAGCCGGCGTGAGCGCACTGAGGAAGAGGAGAGGAGAGGGGCGTTACATGAGTTTCCATGTGAGCATCACAGGCCTACAGAGG